GGATTCCGTCGGCGAATACCGCGTCCTGAAGTGGTCCACGGTTGATTTGTCCTGTTTGCTAATCAACATAATAACTCCCATAGCAGTCGGACTCTCAAATACCAAGAAATTCGTCTTCTGGCTCGCGCTTTACCCGACGTAACTCATCAACCATATCTCGCAGTTGCTCACAAACCCCAACTTTATCCTGTCTACTCAAGGAATCCCATCTTTTCTCCAAGGTCACGCCTTCAACTAGCTGCATGTACAAAAAGACTTCTCCTGCCTCGTCTATCCAGCCATATATCTCAGGGACGGGGACGCTTGGAAGATTCCGATGTAACCACCAGAGGCACTGGCCTTCCGCAACAGTGACACGGGGCTCTTTACCATATTTGACGACCAAACCAAGTAACTCAAAAATGACGGTGTTCTTTCTATGAAGGACGTGATCGCACGCTTCACTCTTAGCTCGGACTTGATCAGCTGATGGGAAAGCTACCCCAGGCCTATTACGTGCGAAGAACGTAGAGTCTCCAAATGTAACTCTAGAGCCTTTAGGGAGAGAATCAACAAGGATCGTAGGCGGCGAGTTTTGCATCTTGGAAGGGCTACATCTGATGTATGCGGGGAGAGCATGTTGGTTAGGCACCATTCATAGACTTTCGTTGTTGGTTCAGGCTTTCAGCGGATGAAAGCCGGGCCGCTGCATATCCAACCAAAAGTCAAATTTCATCACCCAACGACACAGACATGTTGCGAGGCTATAGCCAACTTCAGTCTCCATGAGATACTCTACTGCAGGACTACAAGGTGATTGAGCATGGTAACGAAAAATAACAGTTCTCTTGTTAATTACAACTTAGAATCTGCCTGGAACTCTAAGATATTACTTGGTCAAGCATGTAGGTCGAAGGCTGTCTGGAGCAACACCTATATGCAAAGTATCGAACTACCTAAAAGACCTCGATTTCTCAAAAAGGATTATGCTAAATTTTATTCAATAGTTGCCCGAGTTCTTTGAGAAATAAACCTTCATAGAAATCGCTTCAACAGAATGCAACAACAATGCGGGCTGGCTCGGAATACGACCATTATTCATGCGTCCAGCACCAAAGAATAACACAAAGCCTGTCTAAATAAATCCTGCAGGAACTGAATCCCAAGAGGAAAGATGCGATTGGCCAATGAGCTCGCCTTGATATGTCCGTGGACGTATCTCCGGGCGTTCCGATATAAGACGCCCATGGGCGGATTTTAAGCTAGAGCTTGCCTTAAGTCCGCCGGTAGTGACATGCATAGACAGCGTAACGCCTTTACATATACCACTGCATTTCACGAATTCTTCCCTTCGTCTTGAAGAATTTGCCACCATAGCTCGTAACCATATGCAGTATGTCTAAATACAAGCAATTGGTCCTTATTACCGGTGAGTTGATGCACACAAAGATACACAGACTCTCCATTGAGATACCCAACTAGGCGCCAACCAAGGCGTCGGCTTCGAAACCGCCAAGAACTTAGTTCTCTCCTCGGTCAAATACCATGTCATTATTGGAAGTCGAGATGAAGCCAAAGGGGAGATAGCAGCTCGGTCACTCCAGTCACTCGACGACATCAAAGGAACAGTCTCTAGCATCCAGATTGATGTTACAGATGACAACTCTGTCGATGCCGCTGCTCAAACTCTAGCCTCTGAATGGGGCAGGTTGGATATACTGGTCAACAACGCAGGCATCATCTCAATGGCCAGCCCTCCAACGCGCGAAGCTTTCCGCAGGGTCCTTGAAACAAACCTCGTTGGTGCGCTTAGCGTCACCGAAGCATTTCTTCCCCTTCTTCGCAAGTCAGAGCATAAACCTCCTCGTCTGATCTTTGTTACTTCGAGCACTGGATCCATCACTCTTACGTCTAACCCTGAATTGCCGCTTCATAGCGCTGGGGCGACGGAATATCGGACTAGTAAAGCTGGTCTGAACATGCTCATGACGATGTACAACATTCGGCTCAAACCAGAGGGTTTCTTGGTATTTGGGGTAGATCCGGGGTTGTGTGCGACAAACTTCACCAGTGATGCCGAATCTCTCAAGCAGCGAGGAGCAGCTGAGCCGTCAGAGGGAGGGGAACGAATTGCCCGTGTTATCAAGGGTGGGGAGGATGAAGATGTTGGGAAGGCCATCGGAGTTCAGGGTGTAAACCCGTGGTGATACGATCAATTTGGTTTATGGAGAACAAGTAGCAAAGGGACGTAGAATGGGCGGATAACTGTTATTTGGCTCTCGTATGGCATTACCACTTGAGCATGGTGAGATCAGTTTCTGCGTTATCAATTCACAATCAGGAATCAGATTGTCTTTCAGCTAGAGGTCCCTTTTAAGCAAATATTGCCAGGATCAACTAACGTTAGCTGTCAGACTGGTCCCACTGATGCTGACTCAATCCACGAAGGAGGATTCCAAACCTGGTTCACCGCAAGTATAAAACGTAATCGCTACCCTTCTTATCGTTGAATCGGTCTGTAATCCTTTGTAAGTCCAAAGATATATATTTCTAGCATCATGGGGATAACCTGGTTCATCACTGGCTGTTCCAGCGGGTTTGGCGAAGCCTTGGTTCGTCAACTTCGATCTGCAGGCGATAACGTCATAGCCACTGGCCGCAACGCCAATACAAAGCTATCGCACCTCAAAGAAACTGGCGCAAGTATTCTAGATCTCGATGTTTCATCCTCCCCTGAGGTCATCAAGTCCAAAATAGACGAGGCCTGGAGTATCTACGATGGAATTGATGTTGTAGTCAACAACGCGGGGTACATCCTCAGTGGGGCAGTGGAAGAGCTGACGTGAGTAGCATGGGCTGTGAATTACAAGCATTACAGCTGATGATAGAATAGTCAAGAAGACATGGAAAAGTCATTCAAGGTCAACTTCCATGGACCTATGAATATCACCCGCGCCGTCTTGCCGCACTTGAGGAAGAAGGGGTCTGGAACTTTGCTATTTGTCGGATCTCAGGCTGGCTGGCATGCTGACCCCAGTGCATCAGGATACTGCGCCAGCAAGTTCGCTCTAGAAGGTAAGCTGCACCCAATCGTCCCTCTCGTACACCCAAACTTACTAACAGGTTCAGGCGCCGTCGAGTGTCTATCCAAAGAGCTCGCCATCTTCGCTCCAGGCCTAAATGTCCTCATCGTCGAGCCAGGATACTGCCGCACTCCGGTTTTCAACAAAATCCAGCACGTCGACGCTCGTGTTCCAGAGTATGCTCAGTTCAATGAAGCGGTTCGACAGGCTGAGGCGGCCTTGACGGAAAATTCGCCAGGAGATCCTGAAAAGGCCGTTGCTAGGATGATCGAGCTAGTGAAAGGGACTGGCTTTGCAGAGGGTAAGACACAGCCTTTGAGGGTACCTTTGGGGTCGGATAGTTGGTCGAGAGTGAAGAGCAAGTGCGAAGAAACGCTGGAGATTTGCCGTGAATGGGAGGAACTGGCAAAGAGCGTTGATATATAGGACAGCCTTGACGTATGCCGAAATGGCAAGAGCAAAGTCAACACAAGAAATCAATTTGACTGTGTGAAGTGCAGGCTTGCTTCTATGCGTAACCGCAAAACATCACGTACCATAAACCAGCTTCGCCATCTTCTCCCTATCATAGTTCCCACTACACAAGATAACAGTACTTATCTCATGCTTCACCTTATCAGCAACCTTGTGAAAACCCGCGAGCGCCAATGCCGAAAACCCATCAACATACTGCTTCTCCTGCAAATGAAGCTGTCTCAACGCCACCAGAATCTCCGCCTCGGTACACGTAACAACATGATTAACCGTCGCTCTCGCCGACCGAAAGTCAATCCCATTCCGTATAACATCATTCTCAAATTCAGACGCAGCAATCGTTGGCGACGTCTCCGTCTCGATCGGAAAGCCAGCAGATAGTGACGCCGCGAGTGTCATTGAGTTTAGCGCTGTAACACCCCAGACTCTGACTTTGGGCCTTAATTCGCCAGCTTGCCTTTTTGCATCTGTGGCGAAGCAGCCTATGGCGCTTATGAGTGCGATGTCACTCATGGGGGCGAAGATGTTGTGGATATCCTTCTGGTAGAATTCAAATTGCTGGAGGACTTCAACGCAGACGGTGCCTAGACCTGCGAGGACCATCATATCATCGAAGGGTGAGAAATATATATGGCCTGATACTTCAGCAAGGTCTTTTGCATATGCTCTCGCTTCATTGAGATCATGCCCACGTTGTATAATCTTAGGACCGTACTGCATCACCTTTTCAAGCAGATGTTTCTCAACAGCCATTGGCATGACAATAGTGACTTTCGTTCCTAACGCATGCGCCGCAAGAGCAGCGCCCATGGCATGATTTCCCGTCGACGCTGTCACGAATGCCTTTTTGGTAGGATTGTCCTTCATTCGTGCTATGGCGCCTCGGAAGTGGTAGGAACCAGTGAACTGAGTGTGATCTAGTTTTAACCATAGTTTTGAACCGTACTTTATATTTTTGACTTTGGATGGGATGAGAGGCGTGCGATGGACGTAGAGTTTGTTGAGACGCCATTGTCTAAGGGCTTCTTGGCCGATGTCAAATATCTCTGGGTTGGTTGGCATTGTAACGCGTTTAACATGATACTGGACTTGTGCTTATGGACTGTGGAATCACAATGGGCTTTGCGTTACCGAGGGTCGTCAATTGACGAGATCAGTCATGCTTTCGACGGGTTTAGTCGCGTGTCTGATGCCGACGCCAAAGATTGATCGCGACACGAGCGGGCTCAGACAGACTGTGATTGGCCGTTGAGCTTCTGCCGATTTTTCAACCCTGTCTGCCTGTTGGTATGCGGGGTCCATTCATATTCACTCCTCTCATTTTGTGTCACATCTATTCTCATCGCTATGGTAAGAAACCATCAAGAATCTCATTCTATCACCTTGAACATAGCTCTGAATTAAATGCCAAACATAATTCTCATTCCTTTTAGTCTCCCTATCACATACTAAGTGTATGACGCAATGGAGCAGTCCCAAAGACGACGTGCAGGATGCACCGAGTGCAAGAGGAAGAAGGCCAAGGTATGCTCGCTATCATCTCTCATAGTTTATGCATATTAACATGGAGTAAGTGTGATGAGAAGAGGCCGTCATGTTCACGATGCTACAAATACCCTCACTTATGCTCATATGAGTTAAGCGTCAAGAGCTTCAGAGTGGCGAAACGGAAGCCAGCTAATAATGCCCAGGTATGGTTCATTTACCTCAAGCTGAGATAGATCAATTGAATACAGACTCACTCAGTCACACTTCTACAGGTCACGACACAGCCACCTCCAACGGTCGAGACACCCAGCGATTTGTCACCAAGTTCAGTCGTCACTTCCAACCAACTCATTTCTTATCCCGATATATCCGACACATTTGAGAGCAGCTTTCTTTCATCATCAATGCTAGATGATTCTTCTGAATTTCTGTTTTCCTTTCCACCAATAAGCCCACCAAAGCTCAGTATCTCCATCTCTCTACCGTCCAGCCCTCCACTCCGGTCTGATCCTCGGCGGATCTACTTCCAGCACTTTGTAGCACACACAGCGATAGTATACTGGCCGCTACAACCGGACATGGCTCTAAGCTTGATTCTACCAGCCGCTGATCTCAGCCCCTGTATCATGGGGGCAATGATCGCCGCCAGCAGCAGCCAACTCTTCAGAATGGCACGGAACCCAGAATCAAAGAATGCAGCAATATCGGCGACTGTGGAGTGTCTGGGAAACCTCCGTGAAGCAATTACTACACCGGGGTTTGGCGACCTTGGGGTGACAATACTGCCGACGACGTTGATGCTGGCCACGACATGTGTTTGCGCCGGGGATACCACGACCTTTCGGAAGCATCTCAACGGGGCTCTGCATATTGTTCAGCGGGACAAATCGAAGTATAGTCTGGATCCTTTATGGTGGATGAGTCTCAAGTGGCTCGTCCACCTCCTGTTGATGAACAGACTTTCGGGCCTGCCCTTACCATCACGGCAGACGAAAGGGTTCATCGACTGGGACTACCTTTTGACTTGTCTGCCTGACTTAGGTCGCATTGATCTCACTTCCGGCTTCTCTCGAGAGCTGGTGACTGCTCTCAATATGGTCTGCGAACTATCTGAGCCACTTTGCATGGATGTCGTTGCAAATGGCCACTTATATGGAAATGATATAGCACGTCGCGCATATTCTCACGAACTTGAACTTCGATTGATGGAGCTTCGGAAAAAGACCGCTTTAACAGTAACAGACGTGGTGCTTCGGACAGAATTAGAAATCACTCACAGACTATTCACTGATTCAACACTACTATGCCTATACAGAAGGGTTGACGAACTACCCAGAGACAATCCCAAAGTCCAAACAACAGTCAACTCGATCATCAGCTCATTACAGAATATTGACAAACAGTCTCCTGTTCACGCCCAACTTCTGTGGCCACTTCTTGCAGCAGGCTGCGACTCCATAACCTATGCCGAACGCACCATCGTTGTAGAAACGATGGAGAGTATGACTGCACGTGGAATGGGCAGCTATGAAAACGTCCTCGAGTTCATGAGGGATTATTGGAAAAATGGCGGCGATATGAGATGGGACTTATTCGCCAAGCAAACAGGAAAAGACCTCGTACTATTCTGATGTCAATGATGAGAATAACACCGAACTCATAATTGCGCCTTTACATCTTCATCAGGTCAGCGGATATTCACGGATGGCCTCAAAGCCGATCATAGACAGAATCTTGGGTCTAGTCGGTCAGAATACACCGCTCTTCATGCTTTACAGAAGATTTGAGCCAGCTCGCTTGCAGTAAGAATGAGCTGCATTGCTACGTCGCACGGCCATAGTGTTGGGTTTGGGAGGTAACCTCGGCAATCGAGTACGGAGATCGACAGCATAAACACCATAGATGGACCCAGCACCCCCAGAGCAAAGTTTTCACGATACTCATGCAATGACTAAAATCAACATCTGATATCAGTTCATCCAAGGCTCGGCTCTTTACCGGCGGTGATGAAGCAATCATCAGCTGAAATGTCCAATAATCAATTGCCCGCAACGTCCATCTCGACGATAGGGTAAGATACGAAAGAAGACGTCGTGATTATTTCCACCACGGAGAAACATTCTTGGCTTAGTGAGATCAAGAGAGTAGGACCGAAAACTGCCGGTAGGGCATCATTAGTCAAAGAAATCATAGGCTCAAAGAGGGATACTACACATGCAGTTCTGCTAGAAATCCGGGGTTGAGAGCCGAGGATGTATGCTAGACATCTGCAAGTCCACTCACACTTGCGGGGGCGGCCCGAATAAACGGGTAATAATGCTAAAACGGTAAAAGTGCTGAAGTCTATCAAGATGTTGTTCCAAACGAACAACAGGAACTTTTACTCAGTTGGTGCTAGTCAGTGCGACGCTGTAAAAAGCTCCGTGATGGAATAGGGAGGTGAGCCACTAAATCGATGATGGAATGGATCTATACCCATGCAGACAGACGATGCAGACAACGTGGTGCATGATAAACGCAGGGAACACGCGGAAACTCCGCCTGTCAACGTGACACCCACGGAAAGAAGATCGAGTTTCGGCCCGATACCAAGTTAAAGAGGTCATCTGGTGTACCCCTGTCCCGATGATCACCATTGGACCTCCCGTCTCAACATCAAACGCTCGTGCACTATAACGTTTAATGACATGACCCCGCAAGCGCACCCAATCAGACGCGAGAAGTCAGCTCCGGAGGGTTTCTGCTTCGGGTCGGCTGTTAACCCACTGTTAACGAATCCTTCGGTCCTTGGTGCTATAGCTGAACAAAGCGCTAACACTGTAATTAAATCCTTCATCATTCGAAACATACTATTCGTCTTGTCTTGAACACTTTGAATTTTACGATAAAAGGGCTTCGTCCCGCCATGTCTTGAGATCCAGCAGCACTCTCATCCTCATTCCTCGCCTCAGTTTCAATATGAAGTTCTCTCTCCTTGCGACCATCGTCGCTAGCATCAGCCCGCTTGCACGCGCAGCGGATGCAAACGCTTGGAAGTCGCGAAACATCTATTTCGCGCTTACTGATCGTGTTGCGCGCAGTGCTGATGATAATGGCGGTAGTGCGTGCGGAAACCTCGGAAATTACTGCGGTGGAACTTTTAAGGGTTTGGAGTCGAAGCTTGATTATATCAAGGGCATGGGATTTGATGCCATTTGGATTACGCCTGTTGTTGACAGTAAGTGCTGCGAAAATGGCTGAGAGAAGTTGACTGACCAGGACGATAGATACTGATGGTGGATACCATGGATACTGGGCCAAGGATCTGTATGCGGTCAACTCCAAGTATGGCACTGCAGATGATCTAAAAAGTCTTGTCAAATCTGCTCATGACAAGGTAAGCCAAACTCCTACTCCCGGGCTGTTCTGCCGTGACCGCCTTGCTCGTGACCCCGTGCTGACTGTTCCAGAACATGTACGTCATGTGCGACGTCGTTGCAAATCACATGGGCAAAGGCATCTCAGACCACAAACCCTCTCCCCTAAACCAACAAAGCTCATACCACACTCCCTGCGATATCGACTACAGCAACCAGAGCAGCATCGAGCAGTGTGAAATCGCCGGTCTTCCCGACCTCAACACCGGCAGCGACACCGTCAAGAAGGTTCTCTACGATTGGATCAAGTGGCTTGTTGCTGAGTACAGCTTCGACGGTATCCGCATCGACACTGTTAAGCATGTCGAAAAGCCGTTTTGGCCTGGTTTCCAAGACGCTGCCGGTGTTTACGCCATCGGTGAGGTTTGGGATGGAGGTCCCGATTACCTCGCTGGCTATGCCCAGGTCATGCCTGGTCTTTTGAACTACGCCATGTATTACCCCATGAACCGCTTCTACCAGCAAAAAGGCGACCCTTCAGACATCGTCGCCATGCACGATGAGATCAGCAACAAATTCCCTGACCCCACTATCCTTGGCACTTTCATCGACAACCATGATAACCCCCGTTGGCTAAGCCAGAAGAACGACAAAGCTCTCCTTAAGAACGCCCTCGCATACGTCATCCTCGCTCGAGGCATTCCCATTGTCTACTACGGAACGGAGCAAGGTTACGCTGGCGGTAATGATCCCGCTAACCGTGAAGATCTCTGGCGAAGTAGCTTCAGCACCAACGCGGATCTCTATCAACACATCTCACGTCTCTCCAAGGCTCGCTCAGCAGTCGGTGGTCTCGGTGGAAATGATCACAAGCATCTTTACTCACAGAACAGCGCATATGCTTGGAGTCGTGCTGACGGTGATCTTATTGTTCTTACGTTGAACCGCGGACAGGGATACTCAGGACAGACCTGCTTCAACACTGGAAAGAACAACAAGACTTGGGACAAGGTCTTTGGAAGTGGTACTGTTACCTCCGACGGCAATGGTCAGGTTTGCGTTAGCTACACCAACGGCGAGCCTGAGGTCTTGGTTGCGTCTAGCTAAATGGCATAAAAATGGGATCGGCTTAGTACTGGATACGGTCTTTCCTCAACTCTACTTCATGACTTTCTTATATACTGAGCTCAGTTTCAATACATCTTTTGTCTCTTTCAATTTTGGGTTCTTGGTGTGCACACTATGTCAGCGCCAAGACGCGATGCATCAAATGTTGGTTACTTAGTGGCTGTAATTGTAATTGTGCTGGTTTTCTATGCAGCTCAATGGCATAGCAGTAAGCACCGCCATCTTGATTGGCCCCGACTTTGTAAGAACTGAAACGTTGTGTCAGCCATCCTGAATTCCAGGCGCTTAATATTCTCGCACTATAATCTATGCAGCCGCTGCGGCTGACAGCCACGTCTGTTTATGAGACTGGTCCCATTGCGCGTTATAAATCACCATTCTTTTATCTTCTCTCATTCGGCCAGCTCTCGAAGAAAATGCCACCATTCCAGTATCCTCCATTACTGCCCTTGGAGCTACGGCTTCTGGTACTGCAACCCGGCATGCCAGAAGATCCCCTCACTGGGACCCTCGTGCAGAGGAAATTATCGCCTGCAGACGGTGATATCCCAGAATACGAGGCTCTATCTTACTGCTGGGGCGATCAGTCTCATCCCCAACCCGTCAAACTCAAGACTAAATGGCGAAAAGATAAAGAACAGCCAGATCAGGGCAGCTCCCGCTACCGAAAGTATATGCTCTCAGTCTTTGGAACTCACTCTGGGTATCTTGATATTGGACCGAACCTAGCCTCTGCTTTGCGGGCTCTAAGATTCCGTCACCATAAACGAATATTGTGGTGCGACTCTATCTGTATCAACCAAAAAGACGTCACAGAGCGCTCTGCTCAGGTTCAGCGCATGGCAGATTTGTATCAATCTGCCCGAAGGGTCATTGTCTGGCTGGGCTCTGCAGCGCCCTGGAGCTCTACAGCCATGGAAACTTTGCGTTGGGTGAGAAAACAACTCTCGTCTCCAGCCATAGAAATTTCCCAGTATGAAGGGATAACTCCTAAATTCGCCCTAAAGGAGGACGGAAGTCGGCAGGAGATCGACTGTACAGGGCCTCTCCCGCTTTCCCGAGATCAGTGGCTTGCTTTTGAGCAGCTGATAGCCGCAGACTGGTTCCGACGTCTTTGGACATACCAAGAAATAGTCTTGGCAAATCAAGAAACATCAATCGTGAAACTAGGCGTCGAGGAAATGCAATGGACCAAGTTCATTGAAGCGGCCTTGTTCATATGTTTCAATAAATGGTCGGGGTTGCAACCGTTCTTTGTTGATCCGCCGAGGCACAACAAAAATATCAAGGTCTTTTGTGCCAAGGCCGTGAGTTGTAGCACCATGCAGGAGTTGGGCAGGGAATCTACTGACTGGGTTACTCTATTGTCGTCGACGAAACTCTATGACTGCTCTGATAGTCGGGACAAGCTGTACGCACTTCGAGGGTTTTTCGAAGCTGAGACTGCCCAATTAATACCTGTAGACTACACCAAGTCTGCCAGGCAAATTGTGGCTTCAGCTTCCGTCGCTCACTTGAAGCAGAATCGAAATCTTCAATTCCTCGAACTCTGCAACTCGACCGTATCTCCCAGCTGGGCTGTGGACTTAGAAAAGCCGCTGGGCCTCCTACAGCTCTTCAGCAACGCCGGCGCAAGGTCTGCCGCTTCAGCGAGGTTGGTAAAACCTGGAGTGTTAGAGGTAGCGGGCGTTTCTTGTGATGAAATCTGCAACAGTGTAATGGATCTGCCCCCGAGAGAAACTTATGAACTATTAGAGGACTACATCACCAATGTTCTCACGGTGTTTCGAAATCTCACAGGCAGTGAGGACTTTCATCGAGACGATAAATGCCTCGACGAATTGATAACCATGATGACGTTTGGTAACCTATGGGATCACAGTACAAAAAGAACTGAACGTGCTCCTTCTTGGACAACCATCTCTTTGGAAATTGGACGGCGAATGATACGTCAGTGGATTACGGGCAACGCCATCTCAGACGATTACTACAGCATACCATATGGTCATAGGAGCGCTACAGCAACCGCTTGTACAAGAACGCGCGGTGGTGCACTCGTGTGCGTCCCTTCAGAAAGCTACGATGGGGATATGATAGTAACTCTTCTTGGCCTATCAAGCAACTTAGTCCTCCGCCCACAGTCGGATGGTGCCTACGCGGTCGTGGGGCCGTGCTATCACCAAAGATATTCCAACGGCCAAGCCTTACTCGGTGATGATTTCCGCGGCTGGGAGAAACTATGGTGTATCGAAACACACAGTCTTGCGTTTTGGAAAGAGGGTGAGCCTCTGAGTTTCTCAGATCCACGGCTTGACGGGGTGCCGTTGCCTGTCGGGTATAGCGAGTACGCAGTTGCACTGGACGGGAAATACGTTCCTTATTGGATACATAAGTGCGAATATGAGGAGTACATGGAACACGAAAGAATATACGACCCACGAATGGCAGGGCATAGGTTGAAGGACAGAGGAGTGCCGATAGAGAGATTTCGGTTGATATAAGATGCTGCCAGCGAGTTTGGAGGATACGGACGAGTGTCTTGGTCTATAACTGCCTTGATGGGGTTCAATTCTGTTTTTATTTGTTTTCTAGCTCACGATACTACGTGGAAATAGATGGTCAGCTCGTGCTTCAAGAGATGCCCTTTAGGGCCAATCCTCGTGCCCAATTGGTCTCTCACCATTGGCTGGCCACCGCCAAGAAATCTAACAATAGCAATGGAAAAAAAACTTTCATCGACACTGGCTCAATAATACGAGGTCAATTATTATCACAGTGAGAGAACAGTTACCTGGCATACCCGCTCGATAATTGGTCAATCGCGGCCAAGCGTTGAAAGAGGTTTAGATCCAATGACGTGACCGCCAGGAGTTAAAATGAAGCTTAAATCGCCATTACGTGAGTCACTTATCTACTCACATCCTCCAAACACATCAATTGAGCATCTGGAAATACCTCAAGCTCAAAATGGTCGTCGGCGGCTGGGAAAACTCGCTGCGTAGAGCCGCAGATCGCGGGCTGCAGACGCTCAAGGTCAATTGGCATCTCGGCTTCACCGCATTCGGCGGACCCCCCGTGCACTTTAAAATCGTAAGCATTACCTCTCACAGCTGATTTTATAGCATGGCTAACGGACGTAGTTTCATGACAAATTTGTCACCAAATTGCAATGGATAGACGAGCAGATTGTACGTTCGCACTACCTCCCAAGCTGTCACAGCTGATTAACAGTAACATTTAGTTCCAGGAGCTCTTCAGTGTTTCTCAGGCGCTTTCAGGCCCTGCTAGTACCAAGATGCTCTACTGTATCAATTTGATCCATGGCGGCCTGTTCCAAGCTCTTCTGGCCTTTTTCATTTGGAGGTATGACGCGTGGTCTGTATCTGATAGGATATGACTGACCAAAACAGCTTGCCTGGTTTTCTAGGCATGTTTGGACTCTCCATTGGTGTATCCAACATCGGAGATACACTGCCTCGTGCGGTATACGCCCTTCTCTCGGGCCTAAATGCAGCTACGGTTGGGATCATCGCGTTGGCAGCTGTGGAGCTCTCCGACAAGGCTATCACAGATCAAGCTACGAGAATTGTTCTCTCGGTCACTGCCATGGCTGGAATATTGTACAACGCCCTCTGGTATTTTCCGGTCCTCATTGTTGCGGGCGGATGCTGTACTATTCTGTATGATTTTCGCTGGCTGCATCGTCCAGTCCGAGCTGTGAAGAACGCTCTTCTTATGATGAGGAGGGGAAGAGTCACGGAGAGTGAGAACATTCAAGGTGCTGAAAATGGAACGGACGGTAATGCCAATGATTCCAGAGTCGCCCTTGCTGATACATCGGAGTCTGGACCTCGAGAGGATGAACCACGTGTCGTTCCCCAGGAGTACCGCCTCAACTTCTCATGGAAGTCTGGAACAGCCGTCATCACCGTCTTCCTTCTTTCATTCATCGTCGTTCTCGTCCTACGCGGAACTTTGCCGACACCTCCTCTGCTCTATAAGCTTTTTGCCAACCTATACCTGGCTGGGACCATTATCTTTGGCGGCGGCCCCGTTGTTATTCCTCTTCTTCGAGAGTACGTCGTTGCTGAGGGATGGGTCACACCGCGTGATTTCCTCATTGGCCTCGCTATTGTGCAGGCGTTCCCCGGACCAAATTTCAACTTCGCCGTGTTTTTAGGCGGCCTTGCAGCTGCGAACAGCGGATATCCGGCTATTGCTGGAGCGCTGATTGCTTACCTCGGTATCTTCGTCCCAGGCATGGTTCTGGTTCACGGAACAATGGGCGTCTGGGGAGTTTTGCGATCGCGACGCTGGGTCAAGTCTGCGGTGCGAGGCATCAATGCCGGTGCTGTTGGATTGATCTACACGGCTGTCTACAGGATTTGGCAGGTTGGATATATAGATCAGGGCTTCCAGTCTGGAAAGAGTCTTGCTGACGATCCTTGGTGGGTTGTTGTCACTGCAACGGCTTTTGTGGGAGGACGATATTTTGGTGTCGCACCGCCGTTTGCAATTTTACTTGGTGCTTCGTTGGGGCTGCTGAGGTATGGCATTGTTACAGCATGAATTAGGCTCGCTATCGGGAGAAAACAATTGCATCGGCGAGGTCCGAGATGAGGGCCGCAGTTTGGACATTTATCGAAAGATGAATGTTGAGATTCCCACTCACTATGGAAACGATAGATTTAAAGTTCGCAAGTTGGAGATCGATGTGGTACGATGGAGATATGAAGGCGTGGGGCCGAGCGGCGACTGCTCGGGATGGCTTCCGTGATGCTGGGCCTGGTCATATGGGCCCTGGCCGGCTCTCGGCAGCGAAACCGCAGCGACCGACTGTAGGTTACAAAGAATTTCCGAATGCGTAAGCTCTGTCTGTTCAAACCTGCATTGCATGCGGTGAGACGAACAGTCAACATGAGGCAATTGGTGAAAGATGACGTCTCGACTCTCGACCTTAGCATTAGGCTATCCCTGATCCGTTACAGCATATATTTGAGGCCACCAATAAGCCCAGATTTTACAGCATTCCCTCTACCGGTGTAGCATCTCAATGCCGTGTTCCAAGACCAACCACATGATGTCCATAATCCGGGGTAGACACCGATGAAGCGGGGAAGAAAGTGGAGGTTGAGTTATCTTTTGGTGGCGGCCGGTGTATCTTTGCGGCGGCTACGCTAACGAATTCTGTGGTCCTCGTGAGGAGCTCGTCTCCAAAATTCGTTATCTTATCCAACCAGATGATGCCGTGATGTTCGTTTGGCGATATCGGATGACGACCCGATGCGGGTATGCTAGCCATTCTTCCAGAACAATTGATGGCTTGGATGCTTTTAAATGCAGTCCACCCATCGTTTATCTTTCCCTTGACCTTTACTTTATTCCATAATTTTAATAACTTTTGTATTCGAGTTTGGGTTCTGTAATAGGCATCGTCGCTGACCACTCACCGGAATAGCGCCTCATCCCCGCCAGCAAACCTTCACAATCTTGCAAAATGTCTACAGAAGACATAAATCAGTCTATCCTCATTCTCGGAGGCGGCTGTTTCGGTTTGGCGACGGCGTTTGAACTAGCTCAAAAGGGCTACAAGCACATCACAATTCTCGAGAAAGATGTTGATGTACCAAGCCGCTTCTCCGCTGCCTATGATCTCAACAAGGTCATCCGTGCCGAGTATGCCGATGACTTTTACACCCAATTAGCTCTCGTAAGCCACTCAGCCTTGATTTTAGGATAAGAACTTATGACTAAACGTTAACTTATAGGACGCGATTCGAAAATGGCAATCAGATCCCCTCTATTCTCCTCACTATCATCAAACCGGCTTTCTCAATGTCACGTCCGGGAAGGCCGCACAGAACACAAAAGGCGCAGTGGAGAGCTATTTCCAATCGCTCCAGAAGAACCCAGCTTTCAATGGCCAAACCGTCCGTGTGAATAGCAGCAAAGAGATCAAGAAGCTCGTTCCCAAGTTCAGTGGCCCTCTTACCGGCTTCACCGGATATCACAACAAGCTCGCGGGCTACGGCCACTCGGCTAATGCGTTGAGAGCTGTGTACGAGCAGTGCCTCAAGCTCGGCGTCAAGTTCCATCTTGGAACGAAAGATGGTGAAGTCGACTCATTGCTGTATGCGTCAAGTCGCGAGGGGACGAAGTGTATAGGTGCCAGGACACGCGGAGGCACCATCCACTCAGCAGACAAGACCATCGTCGCTTTAGGTGCTGACGCCGCCAACATCCTCCCACGTATTGGAAAACAAATGACCGGTCGAGCATGGGGTGTCGCGCATATCCAACTCACAGACAAAGAAGCCGCCGAACTCAAGGGCATCCCAGTCACCAACGTCCGCGACCTCGCCTTCTTCTTCGAGCCCGACCTGAAAACCAAGAAGCTCAAATTCTGCCACATGGGCGGCGCCTTCACAAACTACGCCTTCTCCAAGGACGGTCTCTCCATCCCCTTCCCCGAACTAGCAGATTCACAATTCATGCCTCTCGAGGACGAAACGCACATCCGTCTTCTTCTCAAGGAGGTCTTCCCTCAACTGGCTGACAGACCTCTGATTGATCAGCATCTGTGCTGGTTCGCTGACACGGATGATTCGGACTTCATCATCGACTACGTCCCTGGTACTAATGCGACTTTGGCGGTGTTGAGTGGTGATAGTGGACATGGGTTTAAGATGTTGCCGATATTTGGGCAGTTTGTGCATAAGCTGCTTGTGGAGGAGAAGCAGAGTCAGGCGAAGTGGCAGTGGAAGGATAGTAAACCCAAGGCTGCGGCTGTGTGGAGGAGTAGTGAGAGTCAAGAGCTAGCTGCTGTTCCTCGGGCGAAGTTGTAGGAGCTGATGATATGTCTAATATGAATATCTATTTTTCTTATCAACGAAATGTCCGTTTCTGTCTGTATGCCACGCTATGAAATCTAGCTCAATCACTTTATGTGAAAGACTCATTCAGCCAACATAAAGAACAGGAGCAACTACAATCTAACATATCTCTTTTTGGCTATAATCAGCGGGCAAAGGGCGACTCTGGTCGTTATTCGTCAGCAGCATAACGAAGTGAGGGGTCGATATCTCGTCCGAGTCTTACAAATCCTCAATTACACGACACCATCAACTAACAAACGAGGTGCTGTTATTTCCGATTTGAGCCAAGATCATTCGATCGCGCAATATCTTGGGAAATGGATTGGACGACTATTTATGTTGCAATCAGTTTGCATATCGCATGTCGAACGTGGGCCAATGAGGTTTGTCGCAGTAAGTCTTGGTCATTGTCTGCCATCATGGCGTGACTGGCCAAGTTGGGGTCATTGTAACAGTAGTGAGGGGATGATGATCGTATATCAAGATGCCTTATTCTGCTGCAGTTCCAAAGAATTAATTGAAACTTTCATAATTAAAGCATTGTATAAGATACCAAAGTCCAATTAGTTCAAGATGGTCCCAGCCCCAATCGACCCCAGCATCAAAGATGTCGCCGAACCCATCAAAGACACTCTCAAGATCCCCGACCCAGCCAAAGAGCGCCTTGAGAAATCGGGTGTAGATCTCTCCAAAGGCTATCCCTACCGTCCTTCTCGGCCTTTGTATCTCGATGATGTCTACAAGATTAGAGACAAGCCTCGCGATCATATCGACGCTGGTGCTCGAGCTGACAAGTCAAAGAAGAGCCTCCTGTCCGCTGCGACAAAGGTTACTGATCTGACAGCTTACATCGGAACCGAGATTGAAGGCCTGCAGTTGAAGGATCTCACTAATCAGCAGCGAGATGAACTTGCACTGCTTATCGCGGAGAGAAGTGTTGTGTTTTTCAGAGATCAGGATCTTTCGCCGCAGCAGCAGAAGGAGCTTGGAGAGTGGTACGGCGAGGTTGAGATTCACGTAAGTCATGCATTTAATCCTCTTTGGGGCAAATACTCACACGACATAGCCTCAAGTCCCTCATGTCCCTGGCATACCAGGGGTAAGCGTCCTCTGGCCCGATCTTATGGCTCAAGAGCGCCCAGCCAGTTTCCGTCAACCTGGCGGTGCATCACGCTGGCACACAGATCTCGTCCATGAGAAGCAACCAGCAGGTATCACACATCTCCATAACGATACTATCCCATCTGTTGGTGGAGATACTCTGTGGGCATCTGGCTACGCTGCATATGAGAAGCTCTCCCCAGAGTTCCGTAAGATTATCGATGGTCGGGAGGCCGTTTACCGCTCTGCTCATCCCTACCTGGACCGTGATCATCCCGAGCAAGGACCAAAGTACATTGAGCGCATTCACCCTATTGTTCGTGTTCATCCTGCCACGGGCTGGAAAGCGCTCTGGGTGAACCGCGCAATGACGGATAGGATTGTTGGTCTCGATCGGGCGGAGAGTGATGTTATTCTCAATTACTTGTATGATGTTTATGAGCAGAACGTTGACATCCAAGTCCGATTTAAGTGGACGCCTAGGACCTCAGCGCTTTGGGACAACCGGTAAGCTTCAGAAGGTTCGCTGAGGTACAAAGTGCTAACTGGTTTTAGTATCACTATCCATAATGCAAGCTGGGACTATAGCGGTAGAGAACCGCGACATGGAACGCGAGTGACTTCTTTGGCTGAGAAGCCGTACTTTGATGCATCGGCTCCTACGCGTCGTGAGGCACTGGGTCTTTTGGGAGACAGTGAGAAGAAGGAACTTGAGGAGTCAAAGTGAGGATCATGTTCTCTATCACTGCCTTTAGGAATTTATTTTATACTCCAGTAAACTGAATGATCAATTGATTAACACTGATACTTCATTTACCCCATAATGTTCTTCAGCCAATCACCTGTGATTTCCACTTCAAACCTGTCATAATCTGAAATTCCATCTAAGCAAAGCCGGTGGCAACAACAAAGCTAACATCATTGACAAAGCTGTTTGTAGCATCAAAGTCATGAACACCACCATTTGAAGCAGCATACCCAACGTTGTTGTAGTGGCGAATGTACCTGGTCGGATAGCTCCATGATCGGAACGAACTTCCTGTTCCACTGATACCCTTCTGGGGGCAGAACGTAGCATCCTCATTGAAGAGCTTGCTTCCGTCACCCTGGTTAACGTACAGCTGGAAGCCAGAGTGGCGAATGTAACTACCGGGAGTATCTTTAGACTCGAAAGATACACAGCCGCTGTTGGCGAGACCGGTGCGGACGGTCCAGCTTGCTGACTGCTTGAGGGCGGTGGAGCTGGAGCTGGATATCACCTGAGTGTTGACGTTGGAGGAACTGTGTGCGAGGACGCGGTCGGTGTAGCCAGAGGTAGTAACTTTGAGGGTGACGGATGATCCGACGGTGAGGGCGGTTCCGCTGGTCAAAGATGTGGTGGCGTATTTGGCGGCGACGATGTTGGCCTGCACCTTGTTCTCGGTCGCATCAGAAGGGTATCCGCTAGTCATGACTCCTTCGTAGAAAGTTCCCTGAGCTCCATTGCTGTTATCACCGCCAATGCCGAGAATGATTGCGCCTTCTTTGCTCATTGGGTTGTATCCACCATCAGGGCGCGCACCGCTGTAGAAAGTCGATAGTGCACCCGAGGCGGCATTTCCACCACGAATGGCCCACGTGCCGGGCTTGCCCTTGACGACAGCACTGGTGAAGCGGTTGGAGATACTTGGGTTCGCAGTGTTTTGCTTGGCGCCCTGTCCAGAGAAGAGGCCGTTCTCAAGATCAGCCATGATCCAAGGGCCGCTGCCGGAACCAGAGCCCCAGATGGTGTTGTCGCCGAAGTAGATAGCTTCCATGTGTCCATTGCCAGTATCCTTGCTGTTGGTCTCCGCATTGCCGTAGTCGAAGCAGCAGGCACCGTTGTAATGCGTTCCGTCGAGAACAGCATACATGCCCTCGGGTTCATCGCCAGTGGCGGAACCGTCAACTTGGTTGTTACGATAGCCGGTACCAGGGGAGATAAACACTCCGTACGCCTTCTTGCCGTTCAGCGTAACAGGTGCACCATCAGCAGCGGCAAGGTTATCATAGCCATTCACATCAGGGCCATTGAAGCCACCGGGAGGAGCCTGGGTCAAATGGTTGCTTCGGCCAGACTGATCATAGATGATGGTGATGAGACACGTTGTGCCGCTGCAGAAGGAGTCTTGGGCAGAAGAAGCTGCGACACCGCCTGCGGAGACAGGCTTGATGTCGGTGAGGGCTCCGTCTGAGGCGCGCTTGATCTGGTAGAGACCGCCGGTATAGCTGTCGAAGAGGGCACGGGTAGTGCTATGAGCGGCGATACAGGGTGTTCCGCCGGACTTGTAGATGTCGCATGGTCCTGCCGAGACAAGACGGGCGGTGGTGGCGAGACCCAGAGCGAAGACGCTTTGGAGAAGCATTGTGATGTTTAGTCCGAGAAAATGTGTAGAACCAGAGCCAAGTGTCTTAGACAGAAGATTGAAGAAGAGCTGCTGAGCTACAAGAAATGGAATTTATGGCACAGAATAAGAGCTCTTTATATAGATATCTCCATACTGAGGGTCCCTACTCCGATGCTTTCCCCGAACTCCATCGCGACAACATCAGGCGAAGCGACTAACCACCTTCCTATTCCGCTCACACTCTCCAAATGAGTAACTATTCACAAATTTCTCCGTGGACAAATCCGTCAAAAAGTAAAGCGCCAAGGCTTATTCGCCCGCTTCTCCAAATCTGCGGGGTATGCAGATCGGCGCCATCGTCATCTGGGGTAAATACCCCAGGGGGCATCGCGTGGCTCGGGCCTCGATGTAACCATAAACCGGCACGCAAGTGCCGAATTCGATGCGGACAAATTAGATGTTGGAAGACATTGATCGGTGCTAAGAGAGCCAATGGAGAAAGAATGCGGGGATGCATTTAGGGCCGAGTCGTAATGTGGGCGGTATTGAGATCGTCGTGACCTAACCTGATGGGCTATTGGTGCTAAGGGAAGGGATGAAATATCCTCGTATATTTGATGTCTAATACCTCAAGACCGCGGATGACACATGACCTGATCGTAAGAGAATTGAATAACTAGTCCGATAGAGTACGAAACTTGCCCAAATTTGACATAAACTTTGCTCGGCATTTGCCTCTACCCGTTCCCATTCCAAGCGCCGCATCGTGACTGGAATCGCTTCACTTCTCCCAAAACGCCCCAATGAAGTCCTCCACATCCTTCCAAAGCGCATCCGGCTCCTCAAGCGCAGCAAAGTGTCCACCCTTGTCATGCATTCTATACCACTTCACTTGCTCCGTCTGCTGAATCCATCTCTCCGGCGCAGTGGCAAGTTCCTTCTTGAACGCCGAGTGCCCAAGCGGTACCCTGAGACTCTTCCAGGCATTCATCATGAGCTCATGATCCTCAAGGACTGTGAGGTGAAGATAGATAGATGTTGGGTAACAGCCTGTGAACCAGTAGAGCGCTATGTTTGTTAGGATGAGGTCTTTGGAGGGTGTTTCGTCGGACCAGCGGTGCATCTTGTCGCCGATCCAGGCGAGGAGGGCGACGGGGTTGCTTCCGAAGATGTAGCCTGCTGTAGCTGGCTTGGTGCCGTCGAGCTGAATGAAGGCCGTTTCTTTCTTTTGAAAGTCTGCCATTCTACCGAACGCTGCCATCTCGTCGGGAGTATACTTGCCGGCCTTGATGTCTTCCTCGACATTTTCACCTGGCGGAGGCGATATGTTGAGCATACTCATATGAACGAGTTTACAGGCGGGATCAATGTTTGCGATGACGGGTGCGGTCCAGCCGCCGAGATCGCCTCCCTGCGTCATGTACCCTGTCTTGTCAAAGCCCAAAGAGTGCATCATCTTCGACATGAGCCGGGCGTTATCAATATGGGTGAATGGCTTATCGAGAGGAGGCACATCAGAGAAACCGAAGCCGATATGATGAGGAACGATGATGTGATAGGGTAGAGACTCAGGATCGTACTCAGATTTGAGTTTCTGAAGAATGGGGAGGTACTCAACAACAGAGCCGGGCCAACTATGAAGAAACAGAATGGGGACCGCAGCAGGGTTCTTGGAGAACAAAGCCAGAAAATTGATCTTGTAATCTTTCGAGTCATCATCAGTGACAGTGATGTCAAACTGGGGGATCGAATTGAGAGTAGCTTCCCATTTCTTCCAGTCGTAACCATTCGCCCAATACTCAACCAATTCCATCAAGGTCTTTCTCGGGAGTCCAAAAGCGCCATCATCACGTGAATTCCAAATATTCGCTGGTGGAACAGGCGATAGCTCGAGGAGCGTCTTGAGCCGCTCGATCTCACCATCAGGAACGGAAATAGTGGATGATGTAAGATTTGCTGACGCGGGGACGGGCCAGGGCGGAGCGCTAAAGGGAAGGGAAGACATTGTGAAAAATGGATTGATGGTGCTTAGAGTGATTGAAAAAGGTGAATTGATTTGGAATACAATTTTTAATGGTCTTGTTGACTGTTCTTATGCGTTTTTGCTCCGCTTGGAGATGGACTTCTGCCTTGGGATGATGATCCTTAGGCTCAGATGCATGAGGTTGATTGGCAGGATGTCAGATTTCTAGAAACTTCGCGAAATTACTACTCACTAGCTCCATTTAAGAAATTCAGAATCAGCTAGAGACTACTGGAAGTTTCTGACGTTGATTAATTGATGTTGTTGTGCTGTTGGCACGTCAGTGAGCCTGGCAGACAAGCTAAGTTGGATTCAGTGTTCATGGTGCGTGTTTGACTTGGAGTTGAAAACTAAATTTAAAGATGCAAATCAAGATTATAAACATTCAGACTATTGAGATCGAAAGCATGCCGCTTCCAACCGTGAGAATATGTTCAATGTAGCTAACAGAGGTGGTAGGATTTGCCTCTAGTAGTTGGCATCCAACGCAACATTCTTCCCTATAGCTGTCCGCTTTTGCTGTCACTCTATGTCGATATCTCAAGGACCTACTTGTCTTCTAACTACAACTTGCACCTGAATTTCCAGATGAAACGCTACCTCCCAGCATCCCTAAAACAGCTTTGTCTGTTTTGCCTGATATAGATCTGATCTCATCTCAGGTTGCCGTCTGGAGATGGTAGCTATCTCTTTTTCTCAATCCTTCTCTACTTGAGTCCAACTAGCTTCGTATTACCTTCTCCGCTTTCTTTGCCTACATGGAAGCTCCATTGGGAGATACCATCGGAGAATCTCACATGAGACGTGAATATCCTGCACACTTTGGCGAAGGAGCTTTAACATTTAGATGACTGCACGACATGGACGCTTATCCTGATTGGTGGCCAGATTGGTTCGGTCGGATATCCTCAACACAGCGTAATTTTCGGCGTAGAACAAAAGCAATATCCTGGAACACAGAGGGACTGCCTGGGAACCAAATCCAGGATACCAACACTCGGTCCGTGGCTCCATATGTCAAATACCAATCTGAGTACTATAGTAACAGTGAATTCTTGGGACTCCATAAAACTTTAATCTTTGTCTATCAAGATCCAAGCCTTGCCTAAATGGGCGTTGTGCCAGTGACCAGATAACTGCGTAAGTGCATGCTAACCATCACGTCGAACGATAGACTGCCGGCATAGGTGATATTCATGACTGATGAGGGGCGATAAAGTGGCTTTAATTAGGGTGGAAGAATTAATATTATCGGAGACAGAGCCTTATGTGAGGATTTATTGCTATGGCCAATATCAGACATTGCATAGCATGGCCTGGCGAAAAACAAACACTGGGGATTTCATTTGGGTTTATCTGACACTGGCGCTAGTGACTATCTGCCGTGGTGTCTGTGAGCAGGCCATGTGCCATGTTATGCGGGGTGAGCATGACAATCTCTCCGCTCACGAGGACGTCGATCAGCGAAATTCCTGGACTGAGCGTCACACAGAATAAATACTTACATATATCTCCGCGGAGCACATCTTTTTGGCATTTGAACCTTTGGCTTTTCTTTTCACTCGGTAACTGTCAAAAATGCGATCTTGAACCATCTTTAGGGTTCTTATCTTTGTTGCATGTGAGAATTGGAGATAGTGGCGGTTTTGGTGTGACTGCTTATCTCTGCTCGATGTTCTAGACTGCTACCCGTGCAGATTTGACAGACATGTATCGAATCAGCTATGCCCCTTCCATTAAAAGTTGAATTTTTGCAGGTATTACAGTTAACAAGATCCCTCGGCTATGCCGCCTGAGAAGGGCATCTGGCAGTCGATCTGGACATCTTCCCGCTATTAGTTTCACCAATGAAACACCGGCCTCCATGTCTGGCACAGAAGCAATAGGTCAGTTAGTGCTACAACCTTATCACAAGACCCTGGAGGGCTGTGTTCAGCCCGGAGATGCAATGCATTGACGTCACAGGTTCGAAGTCTGTGATTTTCTTTTCCGGTAGATCTGCAAATATGATAGAAATCACAACTTTTACATTTGATCTCCGGGGATGCTATATCCCAAAGTCTTATACAACGACATCCCCGGGATTTTGATGCTGTTGGCGACCCGTTTCACCATACTCATCATCCCGCTCAACATGGCTTCCGACTCGACACCTATGGATATAGATGAAATGACGGAGACTACTCCCTTACTACCATCTCATAAACGCGGCATCAAGGCCGTTCCTACAAACACTGCCTCACAGCAGGACAGTCTACCATATAGTGACTACCATACCATCGACTGGCTTCAAGACCTCGTGCAAGATAGCCATCGCCGCGATAACTCAAGTCTCTATTTGCGACGCGGGATACGCTACCGTATAACCAAGCTATGGGACTCTTCTCAGGGATGGGTCGCAGCTTTCCTCATCGGTCTTCTCACAGCCTCAATCGCGGCATTCGTAGACGTCAGCGTTGAGGTTGTAGCAGATCTCAAAGATGGGTACTGCACCAACAACATATTTCTAAGTCGCCGAGCATGCTGTTCATCAGAGACGATCTGTCAGAACTGGAAGCCATGGACAGAAAGCTATGTGCATGCATACGCCATCTATGTTGGCCTTGCTCTGGCCTTTGGTATCATCGCTGGGAGTGTCACCGCGACTACGAAGATGAATCTCACTGCCGTTGCTCCGGAGAAAGAACGGTCGTCTGCAAGCCCCAGCGGAAAGGTTATGTACATGGCAGCAGGAAGCGGCATCCCCGAGATAAAGACTGTATTGTCCGGCTTCTGCATCCCTCATCTCTTCGATCTCAAAGTCCTTATCGTCAAGGCCGTCGGATCAATCTTTGCAGTCGCAACGGGCATGTGTTTGGGAAAAGAAGGACCCTTTGTGCACATCTCAGCTTGTGTTGGATACCTTGTCACGGTCTGCATCCCCAAATACGCGAGTAATCAACGAAAACTGAGGGAGATGCTCAGTATCGCATGTTCAGCAGGTTTATCGGTCGCTTTCGGTGCTCCGATTGGAGGCGTTCTCTTCAGCTACGAGGAGATCAGCACTTACTTCCCCCGAAGGGTACTCTGGAGGAGCTGTCTTTGTTCAGTGGTAGCGGCGGCTGTTCTCAAGGAACTCAACCCTACAGGTACTGGCAAGCTTGTTCTATTTGAGACGAACTACGGTGTCAACTATAATGCTCTTCACTATTTCGTCTTTATCATTCTCGGTGTTTGCGGTGGTATATTTGGTGGTGTATTCTGCAGAGCCAACTTCCTCTGGTCGAAATCATTCCGAAAGCTTCCGCTCATCAAGAACAACCCTGTTTTCGAGTTGGCTCTTGTAACATTGATCACTGCAGTTCTTCAGTTTCCGAACATGCTTATCAGGGAAACTGGGGATATTGTCATGCAGCGATTACTTGTTGATTGTAATCATGCCGAGGAAGACTGGATTTGCCAACAAGAGGCCCAAACTACTGTTAAGGGCACGTACTACGCATGGTTGGTCTCCGGAACATTCGTCAAGCTATTTTTAACGACCATCACATTCGGCTGCAAGGTCCCATCTGGAATCATCATCCCCGCGATGGATGCTGGTGCGCTCTTTGGTCGAATGATCGGGCAACTCATACCCAACATCTCACCTGGCATATTCGCCATGGTTGGATCAGCAGCCTTCCTAGCTGGAGTTAGCAGAATGACTGTCAGTCTGGCTGTCATCATGTTTGAGTTGACTGGAGAGGTCAACTTCATTCCACCTTTCATGATCGCTATCCTGACTGCAAAGTGGGTGGCTGATGCAATCAGTGCCGATGGTGTTTATGATCTCGCTCAGCATCTTCAAGGACACCCATTCTTGGAGGCTGAGGGCGCCATCAGCAAGGTCAGAGATTTCAGAGATAATGAGGGCACTGCGACGGTAGACGCTCTGCTCCCTTCAAAAGATACCATGGGCAACGCTTTTGTATCTGTCAGTCCGGGCTACCGTGTCCTTACATCAGTACTACAACACAAGCTCTCTTATCTTCAGAGTAGCGGCGTGAGCGATTCTGGACTTGTGTTCGTCAACGACAAGGGACTCTGCCACGGCTATATCTCGCAATATAAACTGGAGCAGGTCTTGCAGATGATTGAGAAAACCGATGGTGTTGAAGAGTCCTGTGAAATAAACGTTCTTGAAGGTACTCTGGCGGAGGCGATTGACAGAAGTCCCCTCACTCTCCCGTCAAAAGCACCCCTTGAATATGCGGTGGAGCTATTTGGGAAGCTGGGTATTAGTTATCTGATCGTCACTGAGGAGGATACGGCGAAGGTACTGGGAGTTGTGTCGACGAAGCAATTGATCGCTTTCTTGGATAGGTTAAAGTAGACTACTAGGTATCACGCGACATAGAGAAATGCATTGCTAGAAATACCAGATTCTATCCCACTATGAAGGCGCCAGTACCCGGGCTTACACAACCTAGCCTACGAGGAGAAATTCATTGTGCCATGCACGGGTAGTATAAGAACTTTGGTGAGATCTAGAAGGCCATCAATGGTTCTGTTTTGCTAAAAGAGCTTTCAGTCCTGGTGACGTGATAATCTCCACGTCATTCTCGAGGCTAGCACTCAAACTAATTGTACAGCGAAGGTTAGGTTTACACTGATATGCGACAGAACGAAGCCATTGTCTGCGAAGCGATTCAGAAATCGAGAATCGAGGAATTATCCCATCCCGGGTAGCTTCAGGGGCTAGAAGGAAATAAGACGGGATTCAGCTAGTAAGCGAACCCATGAAATCGCAATGAGAATCGAGAATGCCGATTGAGTCTTGGCCCAGGCACCTTCGGTTATTAGCGTTAGTTAGCTACTCTCAATTCGATAAGGTTTCTCCCAACGTCAGACCATGGAAGCTCTACGCGAAGCCACTGGTGCATAAAATGCTGTCATGAATTTCCGGTTATGCAGTGGCTGAAACTATTTAGGTGACAGCTGCCGGGGTTCTGACTCTGCAAATCGAGACATCCTAGACAAGACATTCCGCGATATCTTGAAACATTTGAGTGATGGTAGCATTTCACAGTGAGGGAGAGTTGTATTCACGGACCGGAAGTCGTTCAGAAGTCCGCAGCGTCGCATCGCCAAATCATCCCAACTTTTAGCATCGTCATTATCTCCCAGCATCCAAGGCCGATCCCTGCCCCGGCCTTCTTTCCGCACCCGCTAAATCCATTAGTCAGATAAACCAGGGGCCAAGAACCAGGAATGCAGCTCAATAAACTTTACGTGGCTTGGGGACACGACTCATGCCTCTACGCGTTATCGCCATGGATGATACGACTCTTGTTCTCCCCATCACAAAACCGCTCAATCCCCTGATTGTGAACCATTGCGGCCCGTCAAACGGAGACACCGTCTGCATCGTGGGGAGCGGAACGTCAGCGATTCGCTAGCAATATCGTAGACCCGCGATATCCCCCCTTGTCCTGTCTTGGAGTGCCGATCTAGTCCGGCACAGGAATAGAACGCCCTGTGGCGACAAGGCACGTGCATGCCGCCCAAACCCCCTGGGGAAAATCTTCAATTCCCGTGCTTTGATCAGCAAGTTTGAGCTTGCTTGCTCGTGTCTCTCAGCTTGCAGCTTCATCTCGAACATGGCATACCAACGCGAGTTCGAGATGCAAGCCCTCCCGCCATCACCAAAATCACGGAGCCCGGAACCAACAGCAGATGACCCTTCAGCATGGAGCCGTCTCATCACGAGCTTCTCCCGTGCCCCATCGCGACATGATAGCCTTAGCAGCTACAGCAGCTATGCATTCAACGGGCGGCTGTTCAACATGAGTAAAGCAAACTACAACTCTGCCAACACAGCGCTAGCGCGAGAATTAAAGAATCGGCACTTACAGATGATTGCATTTGGCGGATCTATCGGAACGGGTCTTTTTGTCGCGTCGGGTGTTGCGCTGTATCGCGGGGGACCTGTCTCGCTGCTGTTGGCGTTTATCACCATGGGGGCTATGCAGTTCTTTACGATGCAGGCGCTGGGGGAGTTGAGTGTTGCGTTTCCGGTGGGAGGGTCGTTTGCGAATTATTCAACAAGATTTTTGGATCCGAGTTGGGGTTTTGCCATGGGTTGGAAGTAAGTGAATGCGAATAAGTAAGAGTGAGATGAGATGAGATGAGACTGACTTTGGATAGTTATACGCTGCAGTATCTCATTGTGCTACCGCTTGAGATCATTGCAGGAGCGTTTACGACGAATTACTGGAATCCCAACGCCAGCAAGAGCATCTTCATCGTCCTCTTCTTCATACTCATCCTCGGTATCAACTTACTCGGGGTGAAAGCCTACGGCGAAGCTGAGTTCATCTTCTCAGCCGTCAAGGTCACAGCCATTATAGGCTTCATGTAATAACCCCCCAACTGCCCCCCTCCTGCAATCTCGTCTAACCAAGTTAGTCTCCTCGGTATAATTATCAACATCGCAGGTTCCCCAGAAGGGGACTATATCGGCTTCACGCGATGGCACAACCCCGGCCCCTTTCATAACGGCTTCAAAGGCTTCGCAAGCGTTTTAGTAACAGCAACCTTCTCCTTCGGCGGCACAGAAATGGTCGGTCTCGCAGCAGCCGAAACAAGTAATCCGAAAAAGTCAATCCCTGCAGCGGTGAAACAAGTCTTCTGGAGGATATCTCTGTTCTATATCCTCTCGATTCTACTCATTGGGTTGCTGGTGCCGTACAATGAGCCGAGACTGCTGGGGGCCAAGTACGGTTCTGATGCGGCGGCTAGTCCGTTCGTGATAGCGATTGAGATGAGCGGCTCGGATGTTTTACCGGATATCATGAATGCTGTTATTCTTATATCGCTGATCAGTGTTGGGAATACAGCTGTGTATGCAGCATCACGGACGTTGGCGGCGTTGGCAGAACAGTCACTTGCGCCGAAGGTATTTGCATACATTGATCGAACTGGACGACCCCTCGTTGCGATTATTTGCTGCGGTTTGCTAGGCTTACTAGCATTCACTGCGAACTCGAAGATCCATAACGAGATCTTCAACTGGCTCCTCGCGATTAGTGGGCTAAGTACCCTCTTCACCTGGAGTTCCATCTGCGTCTGCCATATTCGCTTTCGAAGAGCATGGCAGCTATCAGGATACAATGTATCCCAACTTGCCTTCCGGTCACAGGTTGGAGTTTGGGGGTCTTGGGTTGCACTCGCAGCTTACGGAACTGTTCTGGTTCTTCAGATCTGGGTTGCTATATCGCCGATCCAAGCGGAGGGTGAGGACCCGCTCACAACATCTGAACGGTTCAAGAACTTCTTTCTGCAGATTTTGACGATCCCTATCATCTTTCTGTTCTATTTCACACATAAAACCTGGGTGGGGACAAAGGTGGTGAGGGATAAGGATATAGATATTAATACGGGGAGAAGATATCTCCATGTTTGGAATGAAGAGGAGGAACAAGCAAGGCGGAAATGGCCTTTATGGAAGAGGGTGTATAATCATTTATGTTGATGTCTATAGAGACTATGACATGCTAATTAATTAGCTTGAAGAAACCATGCATACAAATTGCAGTTATGAACTGGTCGTATTGGCGTATTGGTACTGACAATCGCTCGCCAGATGACTCACGGCCGGTCAGCACCAGTGGAGTTGTGACGAGCCAATCACTAACCTCAATTCCCTTCGCTCACGGGCTGATCGGCAATCAAGGCTTATCATAAAAGGCGATCTTAGCCAACGCCATGAAGGGAACGCAGAGCCTCTTGAATTCTCTAAGCGTCCAAACGCTTCAACGACAGCAATCATGGCAGACCATACATTCTGGCAGTACATACGCCTTAAAGCAATTGTCACTCTTATCCGTCTCATAAACTACATCTTCACCCGTGCTCACTTCACGCCCTCACCAACATGCAGCCGCAAACTCATCCGCATTCCTTCCCGTGATCTCAATCGCTTCATCAATGCTTGGGTCTACTATCCAAACAATTACAGCGACACTCAAAAATATGGCCTCGTGATCAATTGGCACGGCGGTGCTTATTGCCTCCCAAATCTTGGCATGGACCATCGATTCTGCGAGAAAATAGCCACAGAGAACAATGTCCTTGTTCTCGATGCTGATTACCGAAAAGCACCCGAGCACCCTCTTCCCGGAGCCGTTGAAGACGCTGAAGATACTTTCAGATGGGTTGAGAGTCAGGCACAAATGTTTGATCTTGATAGAGTTGCCTTGTCGGGGTTTAGTTCTGGAGGAAACCTAGCGCTTGTTGCATCGTCTGAACTGAGGCGTATGTTCAAGATGAACATCAGGGCGGTATACGCTTTCTACCCAGGCGTTGACTTCTCCATTCCACCGGAAGAGAAGACGGTCCCGGAACCCATCCGACCTCTTCCCGTATCCTTTCAGCATCTTCTCGCTGACGCGTACGTACCGCGCATGGAAGACCGCAAGTCGCCCAAAGCATCACCTATGTATTCTGAGGGAATTTCTTTCCCAGAGCATGTTATTCTTGTTGCTTCTTCTGGGGATATTTTCACGCCCGAGATTGAAGTTTTCGGGGAGAAGTTGGAACAGGCTGGTCGTGATGTTGAGATTGTCAGGATCGAGGGGGCTCATGGATGCGATAAGACTATCAACCCCAAGACATTTAGGCCTGAAGCGAGAGATTTTGCGTATAACAGGGTAGCTCAGAGCTTACAGGGCATTCTGCATCATGAATGAGTACGATGAAAGCTTGGCGGAGAGAAGTTGGGTGCCATTTAATTACGTGGAGTAGGGATAGTTGAACATTCAAAGCTATTATTGCGATGTTCGTTGTTTTAAGTTCTGTCTGCTGGGATAAGCTCTCAGCCACAAGTGTGTTCGTTGTTCAATATGTGGCGAAAGTCCTGTCCTTGGTATGCTATTCTGAATATAAACGTCGGTGGGTTTGTTTCCAACGGTTCTGGTGAACATGCAAGATGCTCACAGGAACAAGACACATCAGCCTCGCCTAAGCGACGCAACAATGAGAGGTTCAGGCATCGAGATTTGCACCTCCTTATCCCAATCTGATATAATATTAAAGTTTTACTGGACATCGACGCGCGTCAAACTCTCAAGTGGTATGAGATCATTCATTATACTCATTGCAGTAGGTCCCTTTCCAGCCTAATAGCACACCAACGCGAGCATACACATTCAGGGAAAGGTCCTCGAGATGGAGAAACACGAGGCTATTTCGGTCAAAGTTACCCAAATGAAACAGTTGATGGAATAAGAGGGATCTGGATCCCGTTACCATGAACAACGAACTCGAGAGCAAGATGAGGAGTCTCCGGCGTGAGAGGATTAAAGGGGGTGCGACGAAGGGTGTGAGGTTGTCGTCAGCATGTTCACATTCATCTCCACTGTCAAATCCCAGGCTAGTCAGTTATGATGGTTTGGCAGTGTCAATATTCACATAAGACTCACAGTGGCAGTTGCCCGCATGCCACCTCAGGTTGTCTCATTACCTACCTGTCCTCTGCTGAGCCAACAAACTCTTCAGCTTTCGACAACCAACATCTCAACTTTCTACAGCCAACATCTCACCTTTCCATAACCAACATCAAACCTTTTGACAAACGACATAACGCCTTTCAGCAACCAACAGCACGCCTTTCAACAACACCCAACTTCCAACACCGTTCCCTTGCATCAAGGTATAGATTCTTGCCCATGATGGCATCCGAGAATAAGACCCAGTATTATGGAATGCTCGACAAATCCCTCCTTGAGTGAGTTGCTGCTGATGATTTGAAGCTAAAAGCTAATTCTTATGTCAGGCTCTATCGAACCGGATTGTATTCAGACCTGACTATCACTTGTCAAGGGAACACTTACCGAGTTCACAAGGCCATCGTTTGCCCCCGGTCCACCTTCTTCACCGCCGCTTGCAATGGAAACTTCAAGGTTAGTCCATATCTCTCTCGGGCCTGTACGCAAGACTAACGATGAATACAGGAGAGCTTGGAGGGTATGATCAACCTGCCAGATGACGATCCCATCACAGTGCGCGACATGGTTTATTACTTTTACAACCTCGACCTCGAAGGTCACCCCTACATCCCAGAGGACGGAAAGTATTTTGAGGAAAAACTGTCAGAAACCGAACAAGGCGACGAAAAGAATCAACTGATGGACCGGAGGGGCCGCAGATTAGCGCGCCATCGGAGAGTCAAGGAACGAGTTCTTAAGCTTGGGGCTCGGATCGGCCCTTCTTCGAACCTCAGCCACTTCGCCAAGGTCTATGCCCTCGGGGAGAAATATGGGATTCCAGGCTTAAAGGCTATCGCGGTCGACAACTTCAAGACGCTTGCGAAATCATACGCCCAGACTGAGGACTTCAAATTCGCAGCGCAGGAAGTGTATACCTCTACGATCGACCAAGATCGTGGACTTCGAGATGTCGTTGTCAATACTGTGTACGAGAATCTTGGACTACTCAATCACAAGGCTTTTGAAGCTTTCGTGGAAAGTAGCGGACTAGGACATGATGTTCTCATGAAGATCGCCTGGTTTTATCGCGCCGGATAGAGAAGTGTCTGCTAGGTGTGTACCGCAGACCCTTACGAGTTGGATCTAGTGATCTAAACCTACCTCTTGTTCCCGGAAATATCGGATGATAAGGAGCTCAGTATTCATTTACCCCCACGGAAACACGACAACACTACCAGTATCAACGGTGACCTCTATGGTACCACGTTTATTGGGAACGATACAGTTGCCAGACTCACCAAACCCAATACAGATCTTTCGTGCAGACACAACTCCCCCCCCCCCAACACACACGCAAACAAATTTTGACCATAAAAGATGAAGAGTTTAGGTAGGCTTAGTTTAGCTTAGGCCTATAGATTAGTTATTCGGCAATAAACTTCTGAGATTCATCACCACTTAGCTTGACCCATTTTCATGTTCACGAAACCTTCGAGCGATTAAACTTCAGTCTCAAGCGTGCGACATCGCAAAATGAATTTGCTTGAATGAATTCTATAATTTTTGACTCGGTAAACAAAAGCTTTATCCAAAATATATATTTCAAGGCCTATGGCACGGGCAACTCTTCCGCGTACTTTATGCATCTTAACTTATCCACCATGGGGGAACCTATGGACTACAGACAAGAGAGCAACCCACCACCGCTTTTTAGCACAAACCAGAGGATGCACGAGTATTTGAAAGATCTTCCCGAGTAAGAATTCGTCGCTCTTCAAGATTATTTTTTCTTGCTGACTTGTAAAACAGAATGCTCAAGACCGGGAAATATTCTGACTTGACCATCGTCTGCGGCAACAACCGGTATCGAGTTCACAGGAACATCATTTGCACTCGATCTAAATTCTTTGACGTCTCGTGCGATAGTGGATTTAAGGTAATACAAACGTTTAGCTACATATGGCTCACAAAATGGATGACTCATAGTAACAGGAATCAAATGGGGAGATAATGCTCCCGGACGATGATCCCGCCGCGGTACAAAAGATGATTGGATATATATACAACATCGAATACACCCCCGAAACAACACAAATGCAGGAACACGATGACGATGTTGAGGCAGAGCTTTCAGATACAGACTACGATGCTAGCGAACGTTATCGTATGAAGCTTTTCGGGGCAGAATTCGTCGAACGAAAGAGAATTAAACAGCTCAAAGAGCGTAAATGGGCAAGCTGGAAGATCGAAGAACCTATATCGTCATCGCAGCTAAACCTGCATGCAAAGGTTTACGCGCTGGGGGAGAAGTACAGAATAGAAGGCCTGAAGAAGGAGTCCAAGAGGAAATTTGAGAGTGAAATCCAAAGCGGCAACGTTGGGGTCGATGACTTTGCGGAGGCGGTGGAGGAGGTGTATACTTCGACAGTCAGCGAAGATAGGGGCTTGAGGGATGTGGTTGTCAAGATGATTGAGCAGGATATCTTGCTGTTGGATCATGTGGTGGTGCGGGAGGTCATGCGGGCTACTGACTTCGCGTTGGACGTTTTGTTGTACATGTCACAGGGAATGAGGAGTCAGGAAAGGTTTAAATATTCAAAGCAGACTGTAAGTCTGAGAGTTTGGGGGTCTTGACTACACTAGGACTTCATTTAACATGGAACCAGTCCTCCACTCTCACTCTTCGAATCATCCTGCACGTAGCCCATTACCAAATCATAGGCCAAGCCCTCTTCCTTCAAGAACCTCTTCAAATCCTCCCTCTCGAAAAGAGTCGTCTTCGGCTTCAGCATTCTAACAATTGCATCACGCATCGGACGATCGCCTTTGGTAGTGCAGCCGTATGCTTCCTACAACACTTGGATGAAGTCCTCAAAGTAATTGACGCAGTTATTCCTGAACTCATCTTCACCCTCGGTTTTGAATATATGACCAGCTAGAGCTTTGAGCCAGCGAATGCCGTATTTTTCGCCTAGTGCGTAGATTTTGTAGTGAATCCGGAGGCCGAGATAAGGGACGATAGAGTCGAGCGATGCTGGTAAGAGTCGAGGAGGGAGAGACGCAGTGGCAGTCTGCAGTGGATGCAGAAGAGATCGGACGCCAGAGGATTCGCCACTAAAAGGATTACGAGTCCTGTCCAACGGTGCTGTTGAAGGTTGGGAAGGAACTGCAGAGAACCGATGATCTTCAGGAACCAGTTTAGCGTCGTGCAGGATATTGTACGTTTGATGGTAGAAATACCCGATCATCATGCTCACGACAAAGGGGTCATCATTGGGCAGTTCGGCCTCGCCTGTCTAAGCTTCCTGTATCAAGTCAGCACGAGTTTCGAAGGGAGATATACCGCAAAGTTACTTGAATCCACTGCCGCATGCTGCTTTGAAGAAGTCAGATCAGAGGCAGATAATTGATTGCCTCGTGGAATTTGTGGCGCACCTAGCTGCAGATAATGACGAAGTCGGGATGGCCCTAAGACAAGGCGACCAGACTCAGCCGCACGACCCCGCATTCAACATCTTTTAAGGAAACACAGAATACCTTGATCTTTTACATAAGATAATTATCTCCCTGGCAAAGTGTTATCACGCATCCCTCATCCGATCGTTGTAAAGACTTTGGCTACACTGAACTAGAGCAAACTGTGTCCGAAGAGCCGATGGCCGACCTTGTCAAAGCCAGTACCGCCACAGCCAAGGCAGGGCGCCCGGCCAATCTCAGCAATGAGCCAGAATCGCCCGAAGTTGTATCATCTCAAAATGTGTTACAGACAGAACACCCTCCTGTCGGTACGAGAAGTCCTCGGTCGATAGCTGAGGCTGCAGTGATTGTCGTCCTGGGACAGACTGGCTCTGGGAAGTCTTACTTTATTCAAGCAGCGACGCAGGATAAGGCAATTGTGGCTGGCCATACTCTCTCATCAGGTACATCTAGTAGATAAATTCATTTCTTGGGAGGAATGTACTGACTTGTGATAAAGAGACGGCGGAAATTTGTGCTTACAAGACCGAGATTGATGGCAACCCAGTTGTCCTTGTCGATACTATCGGGTTTGACGACTCCTATCGAAGTGATGCAACTGTCCTAAGAGAGGTTGCAACATGGCTAGCTGAGAGGTACGCTGAAGGGACTCGTATGGCTGGCATCCTCTACATGCAGAACATTGATGCATGGCGTATCACGGGTTCCGTGGTTAGGAACTTGCGGGCGTTCGAGAAGATTAATGGAGCAGACGCTATGGAAAGTACAATCCTCGTCGCGAATAGATGGGACAAGATTGACCGCGACTCCGGTGAAAGGAGACTGGAAGAGCTGATGGAAAACCCGGACTTTTGGGGTACTGCGATCGAGCAAGGGGCGACTGTGGAACGTTATCTTGGCACCCATGAAGACGCACAAAGAATTGTGAGGTCTGTGCTAAAAAAAAATATCGAACAACGGTATTGAATATTCAGCAAGAGTTAATCGATAGACGGCTGGAGCTATCTGAAACTGAAGCTGGGAAGACTTTGCTAGAGGAGATCAACCAGTTAAAGGCATTACACATGAGAGAGATGTCGGAATTGCGGAGCACAATGAGAGAGGCTTTGGATTCCAAGAATCAAGAGTTTTACAAGGCTCTGGCTTGGCACCAATCTTACCTGCAACGACTGCTTGAAAGTTCGGAGGCGGAGATGTTAGAGCTGAAATCTAAAAACAAGGCACTCGAGGAATCCCGGAGTGCTTATGATGAACGGATAGCGCGGCTAGAAGGGTCATTTGAAGATCGACTGCGCCTCATAGAAGAGCAAGGTTTGCCTCCCCCTCCACCGTACCCTGAGTTAGAAGGTCAGGCTGGCTCCCGAGGCAGCTTTCCATCATATATGATGGCCTGGATGTCGGTAGAATCATCTTGGGGCCGGGCTACAGTTCAATTCTTCCGAAAACTGCTACGACCACGATTGCGAGCTGGATATCGAAGACTAGAATGGAAATGTGTAAGACCCTTTCTGAAATGTAAAGCATCGGCTAATATGCATAGACTTGTGGGGAGCTTCTTTATGGAGACTTCCAAGAAACAACATCTGGATCCCTAGACAAGCTAGCGGCGAGTCTTAAAGAATACTCTGAACAGGGATCTCGGCAAGGAGAGCCATCGCAATTGCAAACCCCTACCAAACCATATACAAGACAACGCTTTAGTGGGAGAGGCAATAGCCCAGGAAGAAATAGGGACGACCCGAACCAGAGTAATCAAGAGTCAGGTACGAATTCTTCCAATCAGCTGGCCCATCCTATCCAGATCCGGCAAGCTTTACAGCTCTGTATAGAGACTGGAAAATACACGTTAGCACTAAATGAAGTCGACCTGCACGGTCCTTGTACTGATGGAAACCTTTTCGGGAGGATTCGAGAGCGATACGAGCTCTCCTCCCGTCATATACTGCCCTTACGAATGTGGTTTTGGAAACCAGAGAACGCAATCTTTGTTAAAGTGAGTAGACTGTGCAATTGTAGAGTTCATTGCAATCGGAACCAAGACTGACTATATGCCAGTTCCGACTGGGACAACTGCCTTTTGTGTCTCCCATTGCCGGCACGATAGACTCTCCCGTCATCCCGCCCAAAGAAGAAGTTGATGCTGGAAAGTATGTTTATACTCCCTGTCCAATAGAGGAGATACCTATGTACAGCCGGACATTCTTTCACCATTTCTATTCTCCAGCATCAAAACATCCCTATGCGTTCTGGGGAATGCGACTGCCCCGAAAACTTGGTCCCAAACTAGGGCCAATGACACAAGGCTGGGAAATACATCTTGAAGAAAGACCCGATTGGTCATTGTTTACTCTTCTCATGTTCATCCTGCTGTTGCTCAGTGGCTTGATTGCTGGGTTGTATTCTTGGCGCACGGGTGATCATCAATCGGGGATTGCGATTGGGACGTGGCTCACCAGCGTTCAAGCTATGGGTATTACCGCGCTATGTCTCTGGTGGAAGTGATTATAATTACTTATATGGACAATCTTATGTGTGGCCTAGGGGACTATAGAACTATATTAGTTATTACGAAGGAGGGACAGGGATAGCATGCCGGACTATAGATAACTATGTCGTTGAAATACTGGCTGGTTTGGATAAGGCTAGGCTTTCCGTTACTGCCGAAGTCTGTGACCACGTGTGATTGGAGATACTCACCATCCAAGCTCTCTTCTCTGATCGTTGGTGTGATAAAAGACCTCGACATTCTGAGGAAGCATGATGGTTTAAGAGCCTTATTCTTCTTGCGATGCAAGGGAGTTCTCGAGATCTTGACGTAGGGTGCCGTCGCAGAGGTCTTAATGACAGATGGAGAGGCTCGCAGAAGCATCTACTGACGATGGTGGAAGTTGAAGAGTGAGAAGGAGGAGGCGTCCCTTTTAAAGCAGGCATGTCTGTTCATGTGCAGGCAGCGAGGTGACAACAAATAGTTGTAGTTACTGCGTGGTCAAATCTCGACACTTTTTTGTTGTTTGGCTCGGTTGCCATGTTTGCAGCAGACATCATGGACAAAATCCTGGTATCAACAAAAGCGTCAGTGAATTTGGACTATGAATGATGAACTGGCTAAACTGCGTAGATTGCACAATCTTGACTAGCCACATGGCAATACTTATCGAAGGACTGCGCTGGGATTTGCTAGTCCAGTAGATGTTTCTGAGGGAGTGAAGATTGTAATGTTTCTTGGTTCAAAGAGGCTTTTTGCTACATTCCAAGGATAAGAAAGACCTGGCTTAGAGAGATAGAGTTTCTTCTACCTAACTTCCTAAGTGATGACAATACTTAGGTAAGTTTAGTGTGTCTTAGGGTACTTTAGACCATCACATTCGATATCCATGGACCTTCATTCCGATGCCAATCCCATCACCATATCAAAGCTCAAACCCAAGGTAGTATCCTTGAGGATTGCCTTCACAGACTCCTTCTTCAGCAAATGCTTATTGCTTCTCAAGACCACGACCACAGCATCACGGAGAGGACGGTCTGTTTCAATGGTTGAGGTATATACTTCTCTGATTGCCTGCAAGAAGTCGTCGGTGTGAAAATGAAAGGGGGCTTCAACCTCGAATTTGGCAAGAGCTTGTGTCTTGAGGGGCTTGATGCTGTACTTTTCTCCGAGGGCGTAGACCTTGGCGTGGAGATGGAGATTTGCGGCAGGAATGGATTGCTGACGAGCAGACGATCGTTGAGGCGGAGGCGGAGTTGGTGATGGCGCAGGCGATGTAAAAGATGATGGGCCGGGTGTGGAAGATGATTGATTCGGCGAAGCTTGGGGGGGATTGTGGCCTGAGGGCAAGTTGAGACCTGCGAAAACACCGCGTCCTTGTCGGCTTTGGCCAGATCCTCTGCTTGGTCCCTGAGAAGCTGCGGGTTGCAGAGGAGTAGTAGGAGCGGCTGGACCGAATGGAGAGGGTAGAGGGTGAGAGATGGGAGTATTCGGAGCCTCTGGTAGTGCAGTGAGCCTCTTGATCCTCTTGTTGCCGATGAAAGTTGCGCCATAGAGTTCCATCTTCCCCTTCTCTTGCTCATCATTGTATTCGGTTTCTGAGAGATGCGCATCAATAGCGTCATCTCGAATGATAGTTGTCCCATCCGGCGGCATATACGTAGCATGATACAAGTACTCAATCATCATGCGCACTGCAATCGGATCGTCGTCAGGAAGGTCGATGGTGCCTGTTTGTGCCTCCTGTGAAAGTCAGCCTTGGTCTCAGCATAAGCTATCGCAAAGTACAAACCTTAAATTTACCATCGCAAGCGGCCTTAAAAAAGGGCGATCGTGGGCAAATGATTGCCTTATGGACGTGGTACTGATCCTTCCCGCATGAGATCGTGAGATCGGAGTAGTCGCCAGTCTTGAGGAGGCTGAAGAGTGGTCAGTAGCTTGATCATAGTTCAAGACAGTGGTACTCACTCAGCGAGCACTTTTTGCTGCTCGCCCTCAAAGAACATGGTGGCGGAGCTGCGATGCGATGCGGAAGGAAGATGTGTTGTTGTGAGATGAGAAGTTGTGATTGTGGAGGTGAAGACAGCCTAAATAAGGCTTAGGATCTTCTCTTCTAAGTGACAAAAGATTTAGGTAAATTTAACACATTTTAGTGTAGATTTAGTGGGCCTCAGATTAAAGATTGTGACACCTTGTTAACGTGGAAATCTTGCTCCCTGGAGTGACGACAGCTGCTGGCAGCTGGTCGGGTTACACAATAACAACAAGTCCCACAGCCTGGCCAAATGAATGAGTTACGGCATTACCTGCTTACCATAGGCAAGTGGCAGTAAGTGGCAGACGCTGTTTCTTATAAGTTAATACCCTTTGCTTTGGGGTTGTGCCTGTTTATCCACCCCATGTATCTCTTCAGGGTGGTGCTATCACTCTTTGAAATGACCACTGGATTGAACAATTGAAATATGCAAGGAGCTTTCAGCTAGTACTACTATCCTCTGTCATTCTCTCTCTCTCTCAGCCGCATCCAAGTTGTCGGCAAATATCCTCCCAAGCACGATATCTTCTCGCTTGCTACCGTGGTAGCAATCTTTGACCAGGAACTCGATGGGTATGGCCTTTTTCCAACCCGTTTTTCTCCATTTTACACCTGTAACCTTACCGATCACCGGCCCTGGCATTAACACTTCGTGCCTGTCGCCATGCGTGGGATTTGGTTCTCTAGGGTCCAGGTTCTGGATTTCAAGGTCAAATTGATTCGCTGTTTTGACTGACATATAATTAAGGAAGACACGATTATTGCTTTTGGCGATTTTTACAGGGTTAGCTTTCCCATGGTCTCGTGGGTTGAGTATGTACCCTGGAATTGCCTGGACGGTTCCCCCGCGCGGCTCGCTCTCAAGTGCTGATGTGTCTATTCTCAGTGACTTGGGCGTATCAGGGCTTTGTGGGGTCAGAGGCGTGTCTGGGGTCTGTGGTGATGGTGATGGGGGAGCTGAGTGAGTTTGAGAAGACTCAGGGCTACTGGATGTATGCCGTGTTGCCTCCGATGGGACTTCGCAAGGCACTGTAAGACTATGAGGCTTAGGACGCCTTGATCTCGGGGACGGCTGTGGGGTGCGAGAGGAGGCTGGGCTCAGAAATGTTGCCTCTAGGACAGGTGCCCTTCGATCGCCAGGTACTCTGTCAGGTTGGGGTGTCGAACTAGTTCGTCGTACACTCTGTGATAAGTAGAAAAGTGATTTCGTCGCAGCGTCAAAGTCTGACTCTCCGGTTGTACTTGACCACAGGCCCTTCATTGTACTTTGATATTGTTTCTCGACTAGTTTTAACTGGCCCTTCAGGGATTCTCTTATAGGCGTTAGACACTTTGTCGATCAAAAGAGGCGGGTTTTATACTTACATCTCCTGCTTCAGGCACTCCGCCACCTCGCCGGAGGATTTATTGAGTAAGTATCTATTTATCTCCAGTCCGATGATTGGACAAACGAGGTTGAGACAAGACGCGACGAGCTGCATTTCGGGAAATAATGATTCAACTTCCATTTTATCCAACAAAATCCAGCTGATCTTTCTCAAGATTTTGTATCGATTATTCGTATCGTTGAGGTCGCGTGTTGTATCCCTCATTTGCTTTCTGATGGATTCTGTACTAGAAACGATGATGTCTATGGACTTGTTGTCGATAATGTGCTGTATGACTTCTGACGGCGCTTGCTGCATTTTCTCAATCTTTGATGCGTGGCCTTTGAGCGCTTTCAGAGAAACGTCTATACTGTTAGCCGATGCCTGTATTCCGCTCGCCATTCTTTCAATCTCTTTGGCGACATGGCCGTCGTCAGAGGTGATTCCTCTGAGGGATTTGACAAACTTGGCCGTCGGTCTTATCAACCCTACAATGGTGACAACACTGGCGAAAGCACCAAGGGGTTCCATGCTGGGCAGCCAATTATTTCAAAAGACTAAAGATGAGTATGTTCAATGTTGGAGATCAGGAGATGGTCGAGTTTATTTATTTACTGTCCATCTAATACCACTATGCCTTGCTGTACGACTGGGCTTGTCATTTGAGACCTCTCGTCACAGCCTGCTTTTGAATGACATTATCGGCGCACTTCGATAAGTGTGTGTGCGCTCGGATTTCTCTTTTCGGCAGACAGTAAGCCTACGGCTCAGTCAACGATTGACACGTCGAGCTGCACAATTGTCACAATCTGGAACCAACAGCATAGCCTAGTTTCCATCACCCCGCCTCATGCAGTTGCCTTACCTGCAGCATGTCCAAACAAGTCAAGGTACAAGGCGACCAATGCAGCTGCACACAGCGCAACACCTTACTAGAATTTCGAATCATCACTAGCTGATCCCTGAGTCCAGAAAAGGTATGCATAGCGGGAGGCGTTCTTCATGGCTCTTGAACGGATATCGCATGTTGGGGATGTCAGGCGAGCGAGGACATACGTGAGATGGCAGTCGTTCAGTACACCCAGGCAGTGATGAAGCCGCAACAACTCCCTTTCCAAAACTACAAACAAACAACTAATCAGTAAAATATACAGCGACAAATCTCGCACCAAAGAATGATGAAGTGAAATAAACAATCTCGCCATCGCTGATAAATCCGCTGACTAATCCCCTTGTCACCCTCGGAACATCAAAACCCCGTTCGCTTGACATCATCCTCAACTCACTCCCCCAAGCTCAAGCTCACGCTCACCCAATTCTCCCTCTCAGCCATGGCAAAGGCAAAGCTCGGATTGAAGATCGGCTTCTACGCCTATCCCATCGCCCTCTTCGTCACGCTCCTCGGCGTCCAGTCCGCTCAGTTCTACATAAGCCGCCATGGCAGCACGACGCGTAAAGTCGCGTTGGACAGCGACCTAAAACAGCACATCGACAAGATTCGAAAGTTTTACGCGCGGTGTATTTGGGTTCTGCAGGTCGTGCTTTCGGGATTGTTGATTGCGAGTGTGGTGTTTGCTACGAAAGAGGTTTTTGCGGATCAGGATGGTGTGAAGGGCAGTGTTGCCTTTGCGTTTAGCGCATATCTCGTACGTTCCCCTTTCCCTCTCTACACGATCGATAACTAACCAGTTTCAGGCATCTTTTGTTGGAGTGTTATTGTACTACGTCGCTGGTCTTCTTCCTGACCCTGAAGGACCGTGGAATCCGAACTCTGCTCACCTATCAGCATGGTGTGTCGGTGCCCTTGCAGAGATTGTCATCGCAGCTGCTCTCTCAGCCGTTGAGCCGAAACTTCGAGTATCACCTGGCTTCGTCGACGCTCTCAACATTCTCGGAGCTGCAAGAGTTCTTGTGCTGGCGCTCATGATCGGAGCGTTAGGTTTGAGAGAGTACAAGACTAAGGCGCTGGAACCAAAGTCTTTGCCGGAGGAGAGACGGGGACTTCTTGAGAATGGGAATGGGGCAGCGGAGGGATACGGAAGTATTCAGCCTACTGCGGCCGAGCCGAGAAGGACGCAGGTTTCTGGGACAGGATGGCTGGATTACTTTGCTGGATTCCGAGTCTTGTTTCCCTACCTCTGGTAAGTCCTTTCGGGCTCACACTCTGCTCATCCACTAACACTCATAGGCCAAAGGGCTCCCCCGTCTACCAAGCCATCGTACTAATCTGCATCATCCTCCTCATCTGCCAACGCACCGTCAACGTCCTAGGACCTCTCCAGCTCGGCACCCTCGTCGACAGCCTCGGTGAAGGCAAACTCCCCTACAAAGAAATCATCCTCTACGTCGTATACCGCGCTCTTCAAGGCAACCAGGGTGTTCTCGGCGCCGCGCGATCCCTCCTCTGGCTCCCCGTATCCCAGTCCCTCTTCCGCCGTCTCTCCTCCGCTGCATTTGAACACGTTCTCGGCTTATCACTAGAGTTTCACCTCAACAAGAAAGTCGGCGAAGTCACCAGCGCCCTCAGCCGCGGCGCTTCCATCAACACTTTTCTTGAAAGTTTCTGCTTCCAGGTTTTTCCCATGGTGTTTGACATTTTCGTCGCTGGTGTGATTTTTTTCGTGAAATACGATGCTTTCTACACCATCATTGTGTTCTTCATCATGTGGTCATACATCTTCCTCACGATCTATGTCGCCAAGTACCGAGGAAAACAACGAAGAGACATGACCATCAAGACTCGCGAGATGGAAGCCGTCAAGACTGATGCTATCGTGGCGTATGAGACAGTTCAGCACAATTGTGCTGTTGCGCGCGAGACAGCGCGGTTCAGAGAGCATGTCACTGTTTTCCAGCGCGCGGAGAGATTGGTGCAGTGGTCGTTGAACGGGTTGAACCTCACACAGAGTTCCATTTTCACGCTGGGAACAGCTTTGCTTGTTTCGGTGTCGGCCTACAAGATTTCAATCGGAGAGCAGACTGTTGGTGAGTTTGTGAGTCTGATCAATTACTTTGTTCAGCTTCAAGGTCCTTTGAACTTCTTTGGGACGTACTATACCATGCTTCAGAACAATCTCATTGAAGCTGAGCGGCTGCTTGATATCGTGAGTACTCTCTCCTCTACATCAGTGGAGTATGCTAATGGAAACAGTTCAAAGAAACACCTGGCGTGGTTGAGAAGCCTGACGCTATCCTGTTGCCCTCGCCCAAGGGCGAAGTCTCCTTCAACGATGTCAAGTTCGCGTACCACGTCAAGAAAGGCGATCCCGTCCTCGACGGCATCAACTTCACGGTTGCCCCAGGCACAAAGACTGCTATTGTTGGAGAATCAGGTAGTGGAAAGTCCACCTCTCTCAAGCTCCTCTTCCGCTTCTACGACGTCACGGATGGCTCCATCACCATTGACGGCCATGACCTTCGAGATCTCAAGCTTGAGAGCCTGCGCAGCAACATCGGTGTCGTTCCCCAGGATACGGTTCTGTTCAACGCGACCATCATGTACAATCTTCTGTACGCGAGACCAGATGCGACAGAGGAAGATGTCTACAAGGCATGTGAGGCGGCGAACATTCATGAGCGCATTCTCAACTTTCCGGATGGGTATGAGACCAAGGTTGGAGAGCGGGGATTGAAGTTGTCGGGAGGTGAACGCCAAAGAGTGAGTTGGCTTTACTGATTAACATCGCGGACATGGTTACTGACATTTATAGATCGCCATCGCTCGCGCCATTCTCAAAGACGCCCGCATCCTTCTCCTCGACGAAGCAACCGCTTCTCTCGACTCACACACAGAGCGTCAGATCCAAGATGCTCTCGAGCGCGTCACCGAAGGTCGCACAACCATCACAATCGCGTAAGTCTATCCCCAACCTCTCTCAAAAAATGACTAACAATCTGCAGTCACCGCCTCTCTACCATCACCACGTCAGACCAGATCATCGTTCTTCACAAGGGCAAGATCGTCGAGCGCGGAACACATAATGAGCTTTTGGCTCAGGGAGGGCGATACCATGCTATGTGGGAGAAGCAAACGACTATTGAGAAGAAAGAGAAGGAGAAGAAGGAATTGGAGGGTGAGGCGTCGGAGACTGGGTCTCAGTAGATGATGCAGTGTAGGATATGTATTGTAAAATGTTGGAAAGTCATCGCAGCGATTGGCTGTCGGAATTGTTGGTTAGAAAGCATGGCGGGTAATAAAAGTCATTAATTGTTGGACCTCGTATTGTACTCCAAGTGTGTCAGTCCATGTTGAGATGAGTAAGGCTGGCATCGCGCCGCATCTCACAACACCAAAAGCTGGTCATCTTGACGTTCTTCACGGCGCAAGCAACCGAAGCCGACTCAACATTAATTCAGTGATTCTAGACAACCATCACTCCTCATGACCGTACCAATCGAGAGCACTGCATACAAAGCTCCCTAAAAACACCAATTACATGCAAGAAACCTGTCACAACCTCCAATACAGCTTAGCCCAACCTACTTTGCGGGGTTATTCTCCCCAAGAACATGCCGACGTCATCTCACTGAGTTCCTCCGCGGCACGGAACGGTCTGGACCAAGATTAACTTGGACGCGCGTATGTCGGCTGATGAACTCATGCAGTGTTGCATTGGCCTTGGGACTGTCAGATTTAAATCTGAGGGACTGGTCAACGCACTGACGTGTTGAGATAAGCCACGAGGCTGGCGTGTCTTGAATGGGGCGGTCAGAATGGGCTTGAATGTCGACATTGATCATTGTTGAAGCCTAGACACAGAGATGCATGATATTGGAAGTATCGCAGACTGAAGAAACACCGCTGCCATTAAAATTATTATAGTCATATATAATTAAGCATAACCCCGTCTACGTGAGTTTAATAGCATCCTTGGCCTCATCGCTAGAAGCCTTCTCAAAGAACCGCGCCCAACACTTCATCAGAAGCATGTTGATCAAATACAAGCCTCCGACAACCCCAACCACAGTGAGCACGTACCAGACCCACGAGTGATCGCCCAACCACATTATCGCCTTCGTATCGCCATGATGCCACGACGCGCCCTCGTAATCAGTCAAATAAGGTTCAAGCTCGGTCGCATTGATCACCTGTATCGTAGTCTCAGGCAGCGACGGCTGCTCAAGCAGATAATTCTTCAGCGCCATGGTTAGGAAGAGCGGTCCGGCTGAGACCATTACTGCGACGTGCGGGAGGATGTGCGCCCAGGGACGGGTTATGTCGTTGTAGAGTTGGATTCGGGAGAGTGCTTTTGTGAAGGCGGGATGGTGCGCAGAGGTTATCATCATGTCGTTCGAGACACCGGTGGGTGTTGTGCTTTTGAAGACGGCGTGGTGCTTGGTGCCGTCGGCCTCGATTTGGTGCAGGGGGATGGTCGCGTTGCAGAGCGTGTCCATGTCGAGATAGATACCGCCATAGTGATGAAGGACAAAGTATCGAATAGCATCGGCGCGCTGAATGTTGAAGGGGAAAGTGTCCCAAGTGTCGAGGAACCAAGGATACTCTTCCGAGATAAAATCATGAGCCTTGGCGTCGGTCCAGTGCTGCGACAATTAGCATCCACCTCCTCAATTAACCACCAGGAACAAGAACAAACCTTGTACTCGAACTCAGAATAAGTCTCCCTACAACTCTTGACCAAATCCTTCCAAGCCTCAGGGATGGTCTCATTCGCGCTCGTCTGGTGGAAAATCCTTGGTATCGTCCTCTGCGCGGGGACGTCCTCGCCAAACGAGGTATCATTCAGGGGCAACGTTAATCTCGCACCGAACAGCTCCTCATTCCGACGCAGCAGCGTGATGAGCGGGTAAAAGGCATGGACGAGAACAGCGATGATGAGGAAATCGATGAGGAGGAGGATCACAGTCGAGCGGCGCAGTCTCGGCAGGCGGAGGTACTTCTTTGGCACCGAGGGCGTCGCCCACTCGAGACGTTCTTCATCGTAGGAGTTTTTTCGTTCGGGACCAAGAATCGGTGAGGATGACATGTTTAGGGGAGGATGATTTATTAAAATAGGTAGTATTGAAGAAGAAGAAAAAAGAGGGAGGGAGGGAATAGGACCGGCGAAGCGGCTTGGCGTTGTGTGCGCTTTTGAAGGAGTGGAAAGATTGAATTGTTTTTGGGGCTGAGATTAAATCTGACGCTCGCGAAAAGATGGTGGATTGCGCCGCAGGGACAGTGGCAGTACAGTTGCAGTGCACCAGAGGGGCCCGCTCCACTGATAATAAAAGGGTCACCCCCCCTAGAAAAGCGAGAACGAAAAATCCGAGGGGGATTAGGGGGGGTCCGCGGACGACATGATTGGCTGACCATCACCCCACTCCGCCCTACCTCTGACAATTTCAGCAGGTGCATTTTGCACTGAGTTTATAGTGGCCTCATGCTCTGCAGTTTCTGTCACCTGCAGCCCCCCTTCCACTAAACTTTAGCCTCTGTGGAAATGGATCATCTACGTCACCAAAGCTGAATGGCCAAAGTGACCAATTGCCAATTGGCGCTGGCGCTTCAGGGGGGGATGGATAAGCTTGGCGGGTTGGAGCGCTGTGTTATTACGTGTCTTGGCTGTGAATCTGGGAGGCAGCCCCCCTAACGCTCTGTCTTTTCTCAATTCCGTAGCCCAGTGCGTGCGTTTTAGCGGTCGGTAGCTGTGATCAGAAGGAAATCCTGATCCCAAATCCTTGCTTCCCTTGTTTTGACCATCTTCTCCCCCTGTCCATTATTCTCCGCGTCTTCCGAAGCTCGTTCTTTATTTATCTTTTAACGTAAACTTATTTTTTTTCCCTCTGTCGACTCACCCGACCCAACCTATTTGCTGTGGCTACCTTTAAGCTTCTTTTTTCTTGATACTCTTATTTTTTCCTCGTCTTCCTTTCGTTTTTTATCTTTGCTGGCAGGTCGGCACATGCCGCAGTAGAGGACATCATGGCTCAAACTCAAGAGAATGAACAAGATTTGGGTGAGCCGCAGTTTGCCTACCACGCCGTCGTGGAGCCAATCGTACGTATCTCATTCCCATGATAAACTCTCGCGGCGGGCAGAAGTCTAATGTTGTTGTCTTTTTTGGCGGCACGTGCAGTTTATCGTCGGTGTCATGATCGCTTCATGCTACTTCAACCGCCTCCGAAACTTCTCCATCATCCCTTCGTCAAAGAGCGCCGACCAAGGTCTCCTCGGCCAATCGAAGCTGGAGCCATGGGATGAGGAAGACGTCCACGACGAGACGGAGCGTCTCAACCTCGCCGACGCTGCGTCGCCTACGGATACACACCCGCCCAAGAAACGAACATGTTGCGGCACTGTTGTCCACACGCCCAACTCGAGCCGGTACGCGAAGTACTATCACTCGCGCTTCATACAAAAGTTCCCGTTCCTCGTCGAGATGTTTTACTGGGCGGTCAATCTGCTCTTTTACGTCGGCGTCAAGTCGGCGAGTGAGCTTATCGCCGCCACGGATGGCGTCTGGCAGACTGCGGAGAACCATGGAAAGGCGGTCTTGTGGTTTGAGCATGAGGGCCCGTTCAGCTGGTTGTTTCCTCTGCGCGAGATCGATGTCCAGAGCTTCTTCAGGAACGATCACCAGACAATGCTGACCATCTTGAACCGTGCTTACTCCCTTATTCACATCCCCGTCACTGTCAGGTTCGTTGTCGCTGCTACTGCCCCTCTCACGAAAAAACATGGCTAACAAGCTTCAGCTTCCTTGCATGGTATTACTACGCCGCACCGACGCACGCCCAGTTTGCTGAGGCTCGTCGCATGATGACGCTCACAAACCTCTTCAGCTTCGTCGTCTTCACGACGTACCCATGCATGCCGCCACGTCTCCTCCCCGAGGAATACGGTTTCTTCGACACCGTCCGCCGCGAAGACGCCGAGTCAATCTACGCCACCAACAAGTTCTTCAACCAGCTCGCCGCCTTCCCCTCTCTTCACTTTGGATATTCGTTCTGCATCGGCACTGTCCTCCTGTACCACTCTGGCCTCTTCCGCCGACGCCTCGCTCCCCGTGAGAAGCGCATGAGCAAGGCGTGGCAGGTCTTCTTCGTGGCGCTGAGCATCTTGTACCCGGCGTTTGTGTTGACCATTATTGTTGCTACAGCGAATCACTACTGGTTGGATGCCCTTGCTGCTACGGGAGTTGTTCTGGTTGCCTGGCTATCGAACCGCATGTTGCTTGGTCTTTTGCCCTTGGAGGATCTGTTCCTCTGGTGTGTCAAGCTGGAGAAGCCCTTCCCTACGACTGGCAACCGGGGAGGAAAATAAATGACACTCAGCATGCTTTACTCCATCATCACATAACGATATCCCATAGCAACCTATCTCAATGAACAAATTAATGTTAATCTAGAATAATGTCAATCAATACGTCCACGCACGCTTCCTCTTGAATCCCCCACTTCACGATATCCCACAAAACGATATGCTCACGTGCTCACCTCCAAACAAGGCTTGACCCATGCTCGCCTCGTCTGGCGGTGCGGAGAATGTGAAATTATGGTGGAGTTTTGACCATCCCCTTTATGCGCTTGACGGAATTGAATGTGGGACCTGTTGAAGGATCGGACCCGACAAGATTACCGTGCCGAATCCCACGACGGAGGACGGAGACTCAATGAAACGCCGTTGGAGTGATTAAAATCTGACCGACTTGTGGCACCATTTAATTCTGGCTGACGAGAGACGGGCTGGACGAACGCGCGGACGAATTAATACGCGTAGATAAGATACGAGCAAGACAAATACGCCAAATACGCGTAGGTTTCACAAAACTGTCGATCGGCATCGGTGAATACAAAGTGTCGAGAATCGGGGTCTCGGACGTTGGAATTTAGAGTTCAATTAACTTTCAAGCTTCAAATTTTCACTCAAGGGGCACTTCATTCATTCCTCTCTATTCTCTCTGGTCCAATCACGCTATGGAAGAGACTCACTTGTCCAAAGGACCCTGCATTTCTTGTCTTGTCGACAGCGCATCCGAGGAAGCCGGTTGCACTGCGAGGTGTGAGATGCTTATCTCGTGTTTGAGATCCCATGTGCAAAAGGTTTCTGGGGAGTGTCACCGTGACTGCGCAACGTCGCTGACTTAAAAATGAGCCATTTATTGAGATACTCGTAATTGATATATGCAGGTCAATCCCGTTGATTCCGAAACTAGAGCGGATTCGCTGTTTCACATTGTTCTAGAATTCCATGAAGCTGATCTGATGGTGTTGAAAATCTCAGGTACCCGATCAGTCCTACCCTGAAGCTCTCCGCCAAGAATGGGTCTGTTCTCCAGACCCTGAAAATCCAGTGCAAATCTTTTGTGTGCGATGTTCAGGGTCCAGTCCTGGTGAGATGTTGTGAAACGTCAATCGGAACACATGTCTTGCGATGAATTTTGGCTGTGTGATGCAGATTTCCATGGAAGGTTGTCGCAACCTTAAGTATAGCCCTGGTGGTGCACTGTTGTACCCTGTGTTTGATGCGACACAGTTTGACCAACTGACGGCTGAATACAATTCGACACTAGTTGAGTCAAGGCATTTGCAAGACTGGCATAAATAACGAAGATCTCCATAAAGACTTGGGATAGTGTTACCATAAACTTGCTTAGACTTGAGTTTTGGATCAAGTTTGGGTCTCGGTTTGCAATTCCATGTAATGCACAGCTGACAATTGATGTGATTGACGACGATGGGCTATTAGTTACATCGACATGTGATAACCCTGCTCCGCCCATCCATAGACATTGTTATGATACCATTTGTTTCTTTTTAATCCTTGCTTCCCACATTCCCATCATTTACTTCTTAGCGACAGCCTTGGCGAGGTCGGCCAGAGCCTCACGGCGCTTGAACTTGGCATCCTCAATGACACCGGCATCAGCATCGCTCGAGAAGTTTCCGCTCCAGGTGACAAAAGTAGCGCCCTCGTGCTTGCCCGAGGTGATGGGGTAGGCGCGCACGGTGCTGACGACAGAGGTGTAGCTGAGGGCGGGCTGCGACGAGATGACGCTGTAGGTGATGTAGTGGTCGATGGACGAGTGCTCCTCCTGCTTGACCTCGAGGACGGTGCCGTCCTTGAAGGTCCACTTGACGATGTCGGTGTCGGGGGATGCACCCTTCACCCACTCGCTAGAGGACAGGGCAGAGTAGAACTTGGAGAAGTCTTGAAGCTTGATGAGGTGCCAGACGTCGCTGAAGGGGGCTTCGATGACGGCGGACTCGAGGACCGAGGTGGAGGTTGGGATGCGAGACATGATTGCGGTGAGTGGGAGGTTGATGTTGAACTGATTGATCGATTGATGGATTGATTGAGTGTGAAGTGGTTGTTGTTGGGAGAAGGTAAATAGAGGGGTCGCAGGAATATTTGGTGGTGGTGACTTTGGTGTCGTCATAGGCGGCTCAGAGCTCTCTACATTGGGCAATAGCTACACAAGCTGTGCCGTTTTGAGGAATGAGGTGCCTAAGGCAATCAATGTCGTCACCATCACACATTTAATCAGTGCCATTTGGGAATATCTTCAATTCATTAATTCTACAGTGCTTCACTCAATTGCTCGTTCAATTGCGACAAAATTTTCTTGAAACTTTTTTTTTCTTCACTGGCGGGGACCTGATGGGTGGAACCTAAATTCACGATCGATAGCAACAGGGGAGGGGAGGTCAGAAAGCGTAGAGTCGTTGGCCTGGTTGACAAAAATACTCAGGTATAGTCAAGATCATTTTGGTGACTGTTAGCCCAATTATTATTGCCGCCCGACCTGAGGCGACATGCTTTTCTTGCTCCCTGCGACCAAGCTAGGCGTTAAAGTGAAGAGGAGCCACTCAGTTACCCACCGGCTTGAATGAATGGCTTGCATTGACTGGTGCAGAAAAGGTTTGGCGTACGTAAAAATAACCCATGTATTAACTTGTTCCTCAAAGTGCTTCAAAGTAACCGCTGGCATATGAGCAAGAGGCAGGGAGCCTCATTCAGGCTGCTTGGCCTCGCGTTCTGCTTTCTGGCTCGCCTGTTTATGCGATCTTGTGACTGCCCTGAACCAGTAAAACGTCCCCAGAGTGAGAGGGATGGCGAAGACGATGTACATCCACCATTGGCTAGACATGACAAGACGCCCGTTTTTACCGTCATCAAAGTCGAAATTGAAGATTCCCATACTAAAAATAGTCTGTTTTGTTGTTAGCATCTCTTTATCATGTCTCTATTCCAGATGAAATGGTCTTACGGCCACAAATGTCAAGGGGAGATAAAACATGGTGAGCTTGGCAATAGTTTTCATGTCCTCACTATCAAGCTTCATAGCAACTCGAATCTCATTCCTTCGAATGCTATCTTCCCGGTTCGCTTTAGTCAACCTCGTCGTTGCCTCGGTGCTAACCTTGATGGCGCACTTTGTTCTGAGGCTCAGCACGGATGAAAGCTTTGTTAATAATGCCTTGTTAGCGAGACGCATGCCAAGAAGCAGGGGAACTTCTGGAGAGTCGTACCGTTGACAAGCAGGTGTTCACTCTTCTTATACGCGTCTCTTGATAACTCTTGAAAGACATCGCTTGTGAGCGTAGAGTCTGGAGATGCTTCTTTACATGAAGGTAGTGACGTTGAGGTATTGGTAGTAAATCTCTGCATTCTCTGTGCTCGCTAATGGTATCCTCAATGATGTGAATCATGCATTCGACGAACTCCAAGATTTTCTCCATATATGGGAGACAGATCTTGAGTTGAATCGCTGTCTCCTTGGCTTTGGTCTCTTCGCCATCTACAATCTCGTATTTGAGAGAGTTGCTGTAGTGCTCCTGGATAATTATGTCAGATACCTGTATGGTAATGAAGGGTGACATACCATTTCGCTGATAGCTGTGGAGAAAGGATGTGCGTTCGCCCCCTGATCTTGCAGGATAGAACTCAGCGCACAAGTGAGAAAAGAGAAAGGATCATGTCGAAGGCCCAAATTCGTTGAACTCTCTGATATTGCAATCATTCTCTCGTCAGCTGGTATTGTGCTTGAGTATACAATACGCGCCTGTTTGCTCTCGGTGTTGAGGCTGAGATAGAAAAAGGCTGAATCTGCAAACATATGGCTAGATCCCAGTTCTGTCTCAAACCTGAGCGTAGGGAGCTCTTGGTTGTACTCTATCACGGGATCATAGTCATCGCCCATGCGTAGCTTTACTATTGGGACATTGAACCAGATATCTCATCAAGTCAGCCTCCCTCATGGTGTGTCCAGGATCGGATGGTGTTCTACCGTAATGCGAATCATAGACCCGCCGTCCTAGTCCTCTGAGGACGTTGTGATCTGACTCTGTTGAGATCCAGGGCGCGAAGCCAAGACTTTGGCATATCTCACGAAAGTCGCTGGTATAGAACAGATGGACAGTATGCGCGGTTGCTTTGCTGTGAGACAGTTAGAAGGAAGGCCTTTGGGGTTGATCCCCAATGATTGATCGGGTATAAGCGCAAACAGAATGTGAATGTTCCCGTCATCAATTGCATTGAGAAAATTTTCCATTTCGTCATATTCCTTCACGAAGAAAGTTTTCATCTCAACTTCTGCTTTAGTTATTAAACACAATCGAAAGCAATCGTGGTGCCACTGTAAAGTGAAACATACCAACTCCACTGTAGGAAAAGCTCCGATATGTGAAAAATAGTTCATTCTTCCAATCATCAATTTCTCGCATTCTTGCAAGACTGTACACTCTGGGTTTGTCCATGTCGGGTGAGTAGGCAGTCGGTCTCGGTTTCCTGCTGAGGTCCTTTCTAGGACCAGCAGCTGGATTCGCTACCTGTGATTGCGACATGGTGATAATTCTCACAAACTCAGTAGCTATAATGGAATAAAATAAAAGTATTGAGAGCCAAAGAATGCGGAGGCACTTGTGAATGTTTAGGTGTCTAATCTTACCCTGTCGTTGCATTCTGGGTAAATCGGCCTCACGAAATGCCTTACCACCAGGCGCCGTAAGGTGACGTAGATGGGAGCCCGAGGCCGAGTTACTTAAGCATTAGGATGTTATCGGTGAAGATTATGGGGGGTTAATATGCAAAGGCACCTGCATGTCTGCGCCGTCGCAATGCAGAGGGCGAAGTGGGAGTGTAGTGTGGCTCACAATTTCACGCTCCAATACAATCAATTGCTGACATTCGCCTCAAAATTGACGGCCCATTCGACTATCCGCAGCATCCAACCTAAATCTCTTCAGCGCAAAGAAGTTATTCGCCCGTTCCAATCTTCCCCTCCACCGCTTCTCTTGCCGCTGTGCTGCTCTGTCACTAGTAACCTTGAGCCGTGACAGCTGCGCGGCAAGGATGGCTTCATTAGCCTGCACAACCCCTCGATTTCCATTGACCGTTCGTCGATGCACAATCTCCATACCTGGCTCCACAGGCTCTGAGGAGTCAAGACGTTTCTGATCTGGCGTATCTCTACGAGGAACGCGAGGTTCTTCGTGTTTGCGATGCGAGATGACTCTCCCCGAAGGTAGCCTGACCGGATCACCAGCATCTTGCTTTCTATCCCCCAAAGCATCGTCGTATTGTGGTATATTGTAGAATTCTTCTGTTTCTGGTGTAATATCGAAGCGACAGTGGCCTTTGGCTAGCATGTGATGCTGTATGCCCTCAACTGTACTCCGACGCGTGCCGCAGCCGATGCATTCTCGGTATGTGTTGACGACGAAGTGAAGGTAGGAGACAAGTGTTTCGAGATCGACTGCTAAGAATTCTTGGAAGGGAATATTGAAGCCGTGTGCTGAAGACATATGTTTCATGCTCTCGTCTAAAGTTGAAGAGTCTTTGGTGCAGAAGAGGCAGTGACCAGGCACGAACTCCATCGTGACGAGTTCCTGGTCTTCTTCAAAATCATCTTCTTGAACATCACTTTCTGATTCCGGGTCATCGTCCTCAAAGTAGTCTCTTATCTTTCTTGTAGGCGGGGGCAATTTTGAGGAAGAAGCTGTTGTTGATGACACTGTAATGCCATGGATTTTCTCTTGTAGTTTGTGAACACTTCAAGCGACGGTCAGTTCTTGCTTGTGTTTCAGTAGTGGAAGATTTACTCACTGTCCGTCGCTTTTGACATGGGCTTTCCATGTTTCCAGTCCTCGTAGCTCGATGTTACATAGTCTGCAGAATGAAGGAGTCTGCGCGACTCTAAGCGACTGCTGCTGATCGCTGCGAACAACATTTATGTCTGCCATGGTCGATTATCTGTTCTTGCAAGTCGTCCTCTGGGGTCGAGTATTAGTTCGACCAAGCTTAGAGTGCTTGATATAAATGGCAAACGTGATAAAACATGGTGAAGCGTGGTAAGGGAGTTTATATGTTAGGTCCTGTAGGGGTTGTTGGTGTGATGGGTCGAACTGACGTTGCCCTTTTCGGACATTTGTGGCGATGCTCACCGGGACTTCGGACCCGGGCCTCCGTGGCTCCGGTTGGTCACGAACACCACACGCATTATAATCGCTTCTCTAACCCCAAAGGCCAAGTCAAAACAAGCCAAAAACCCCAAATCCCATCACAAGATACGCCGCTGCGCAATCAACATCAACAACAGCTAACATCCGCCGCTACGCGATTAAGATCAATAACAGCTGTGACCGGTTTAGCTGTTGTTGATGTTGATTGCGCAGCGGCGTATCTTGTGATGGGAATTGGGGTTTTTGGCTTGTTTTGACTTGGCCTTTTGGGATTAGACAAGAGATTATACTGCGTGAGGTGACAATAGAGAGCGCATTTGGCCTGCTCAGGTCGGGGGAAATGTCTTTTTTAACTTATAGATTGAGGCCACTTGTTGAATTAGATTACAAGGTTTAAGGCAGTAGCGGTATGGCTTTAAGACCTGATATCAAGGTTATTATGTTTTTTGGGCGTAGTGTATGACACGTTGATTGATGCTTATAATGTCTCAACGAGACATATCAAGCCAACACACTGAAAAATCATAATTTGCTTTAGCTTCTTGAAGGCAATATGCATGTAGCCTCTTTGGTGTTCTTTACCTTTGTGCCCCGGAGGCTGAAGCCTCTTTTGACCCCTCAACCTTCGTTGACTTCAATACAGAACCCTAATCTCCTAGACGTGGCCACTGATGAAGTCACACGTGGCTATATAAATAAACACAGTCAAAATCATATCAAGTTCCCTCAAAGAGTGGGTAGTGTATGACGTCTTATAATATATTACATATGCTGAAAAGAAGCATCTTACCGTGTTATCTTATTATCTGAGACCCCGATTGGCTATACCTCGCGTATTGCTACAGGGACAGTTTGACTTTTCAATAATCTATTCAAGAATCACCATTCTCCAATCACTATCCAACTTCACCCAGTCCTCCTCTTTCATCACACCAAGACCAATCCGACTCCAGACCCCCGACCCCGGTACCTTCTCTTCAACAGCCATGACATTCAGCTTCACCACCTCATCATCAGCTTCATTAAACCCATACTGTCTCGAAATGACAATGAGGCTAATGGTATGACTTGTTGAAACGGGTCGTCTTCCCAAGAAGTTCACCACCTTGCTCTTGGCCGGATCGTTCTCTTTTTTCAAGGCTTCTTGAAAAAGATTGTAAGATTCCTGCATCAATGGCGATGATAGCTTCAAGTCAAGCTTGACTAGTCCGTCGGATGTTTCCATGTGTATACCGTCTCGATTGGTGACCTGTATGCAAATATTGGCGTGGCTTGTCCGGAATACTATCCGTCCTGTGTCGTAAGGCGTAAGATCTCGATGAGACGTTTCGAGCTCAAGTGATTCCAATTGTGAGGTGACTGATATATCAGTTATCTTGATCGGACCGGTCACTTTTGTATCCTCGATCCAATTGTGGCTAGACTTCTCAGCAATTGTAGACACGGTATCGTCTTCCTTTCCGTAATCATTCACTCTCCTCAGTGAAGTGCCTTTGATCAAAGACACACTGCCATCACTCATCAACGAGTAAAACGCCAGAAGTGACCTCACCTCTCCGACGTAGTGTTCCCCGACGCTGAGACTGTAACTACCAATGAACCCTGTCCACCCAAGCCAGGACCAACTAGGATACGGCACGCTGCGCGTCGATCCGCCGGAAGCATAAGTATACGTCTCATCTCGTCGATCCTGTCCATATTTCCATACCAAGGCTTGATCAAACGTGCTAGCGTTCAAACCCCAGTGTATCTTCTCATTGTTCAAATGCTCAAAGCGACGAATGATGCCAAGAAAGGCGGGGAGGACATCAGAAGAGTAAGTAAACCTTCGCGTCGAGAATTGTGTAATATACTGGTCGAAACTCTCCGTGGAGAATTTAGCTTGGTTATCGTCCCACTCGTCGTAACATCCGAATGAATGGGATCTAGCAAAGGCTGTTGACCCAGGGATATCGAGAAGTGACTCTTCCTCCCATGTCGTGGCATCACAACACCAGTAAACTTGCTTGTTCGTGAAGATGAGCGAGCGTCTAGACAAAAGACGCTCTTGGAACGTCCAGCCTCTTGTATTCCACGACGAGTATTGTAGCGTATCTTCTTCGGTTAGAGTAACGAGGGGCGTGACGTGTAGCCCGCTCAATGAGACTTTGACTTGCCGTTGATAGACATCTCGTGGGTTACTAGGGAGCCCGGCAAGTCCAGAAGTTGAGTCTTTACCGCAGGCAGCTAATACAGTGAAGAGAGCCCTGGAGTATATCAAATCCATTCGTGCTGTCTGATGACCAAGATCTGTAGGGTCATCTTGCACGATACAAAAGGCATCAACCCAGAGATATCTCTCGCCGACCTGTTCTGTAACATACATAGCGTCTTTGATAGTTTGAGGCATAGAAATCTCCTCAAGACTGTTGGGTTGTCGAAGTCGCGACAGGTTCTCTCGAGTCAATCGTCTCTCAAAGCGCGATTGTCTCGCCTCTTCGCTAGATCCCCAAACATAGCTTAGAGCAACGTAGCGCGTGGTTGGAAGTAGATCGACGATTCTCTTTTCCTTGACGTCGATTACTCGGCATCTCTCAGGCCATTCGGCATCGCTATCACTTAGCCACTTGGGCCTTTGACACTCCCGTTCATGCTGGTCTTCGCATTGCTTGATCCAGCGCTGGGGAAGTGAGAGATCCAGTAGAGGCCCGATCTTTCGACCTGTACCGTCGAGTGGAAAGTAATTGCTTTCATTTTGGCTTTCTTTTGGCGGCCAAATAGCTTGCAAAGTAATCGAATTGACGAGTATAGCCAACCAGGGACATGGTTCTAGCCTGAGCAGAACGCGCTTCACTGCCCCAGTTCCATGATCAGGGCCGCCCTCCGTATACCATAATTTATCTGAGGAGAAGTTTCGGGATTCAAGATAACATTTAATCGGCTCATCGTTAACAGTGAGTCGAAGCCCGTATGTTTTGACTTCCTCGTGGATTACAGGTTCCTTGCCTAGGACTTTGCTTCTGAACTCTGGATGATTCTCTGAGAAGCCGTAGGGAGCTCGTATGTATCGTTGTCGGTGAGCATCGATGATCAGGTTGCAGAAGTCGCATTTTTCTGAGCGATCCAAGATTTCCTGTAGTGTACCCAGACAAGGATCTGGAGGCGGTCTGTAGGCGGGATTGAATGGGGCAGGGTCTGGAAAGAAGAGCTTGTCGAAATTGATGGCAGCGCAGGCGGAGCAAAGCTTGGGGGCTTTGTCGCTCATCTCGTCTTGACTTGTTGCTCACTGTGAGAGAAGGGGTCTTCAATTTTGGCTGGTTCACAACGCGGGATTTGTTGCATGAAATACCATTGTAGGGCTGGATGTCAGCAGGCAGATGAGATGGGTTTGAGTGGCGCAGTCAGCGTTAGTGTAGTAGATAAAGCGGTAGCTCCAAAAGGCTGATTCCCGGGCTGAAATGGGTTGGAGCCATGTTGCTACCATCGTCACAGGTGATAAACAAGAACTTTGATGCAAATTAATTTGTATTTATATCAGTCAACTTGGTTTAATTGTCCCCAGAAATATGCATTGGGTGAGAGGGACCATGACCTCAGGGAGCAAGAAAACCTGCTAATTCTTATTGCTCTCTAGCATATATCCTCTTACTCCGACTTGATGTACTCAGCAATGTTGGGTCTAGCCTCAAAAACTTCCTTGAACTTGAGAAGAACATCGGGGATTTTAGACTAGCACGTGGTTAGTCCTATCAATTATGAACAATTTGTTTAGGAAGAGGCAACCTACAGGGATGGTCTTGGTTCGTGTGTCATTGTCAATGGACTGGTAGATGGCAAAGTCGGTGTAGCTGACTTCATTACCCAGAAGGTAAGGACCCTCGCGGTCAGAGTAGTACTTGGCAATGAGATCGTAGTACTTGGGGAGGAATTCGTTCTTGTACTCGTCGGTTGCTCCTTTGAGGTTGGCAACCCATTGGGACTGCAATTCAATTAGAGCTTGCATGATGAATGGTGAACATGGTGCTCATACTCTCCAATCGACGTAGATGTCGGAGACGGCATCTACCAAATACTTGTCCTCATTCGTCTGACCGTCATACTTACCGAGGTCGCGAGAGAGGAAACGAAGAATTGGGATGTGCTATCAAGTATGTTAGTATTTCTTTCAGGAATTGGAGAGTGGGTTTATGAACCTGGGTGAGAATAAGACCCTTGTACTCAAGAGAAGGAAGGCTTCCAGTGCGGGTGATGCCTTGCTGTTTCAGCTTCTCGCTGGTCTCTGGCCAGGTATCAGGGTATTTATAACGCTTCTCCTCGAAGTCAATGCCAGCATCCTTCAAGAACAGCCTATTAAATGGTTAGTCCAGCGATCTCTATCCGTCTAAATCAGCGCTGATATTTGCGACATATACTCACTTGACAACTTCTCCGCGGCCAAGCTTGCCAATGGCGAGGTAGTGGTAAACGACTGAGTCTGAGGACATTGTTGCTAAGGGTCGAGAGAAGATGGGTTTAGATTCAAAGTCAATCAATTGCTGCTGTATTATGGTTGGTGATGAAGAAAATAATGACACGACGACTCCAAAACATTTATACTGAATCATAGATCACAGCGCCCTTCTCGCGGCAGAATCTCGGCTGCAGTCAGCGTTTGGAATCAAGCAATTACGTGATCAAATAAGGCACATCTACTGGTGATTCCAAACTGTGCAGCACGCATGTCAGCGGGCATAATTACCTAAGGTGCCCGAAAAGGTTCAACAAAAGAGGGGATTGCATAACATTGATTAAGACATGCAGTAAGCTCCGAAATAATTCGGAGAGGTGACCGGAATACGAGAGTACGAAGGTGATCACAGCCAATTGATCAGCAGCTAGTGCCAATGGATACTAAATTGCCGGACAGCTAGTGTCAAGAATGTCCAAGTCATCACAAGTATTATAAATGGTGCAAGCCTCTAATAAGTGTCCTCATACTCGTAGCAAAGGAGGCCCTTTTTGATATGCATGACATCCTTGACCTTAGCCTTGAGCTTGACGGTCTCACCAACAAAGATGCCATGATCGAGAGTAACATTTCCAGCAGCCTCATTGTTGTAGTCAAAGTTGACAAGAGGACCAGAGATGTCTTTCTCACGCTTCTTGAGATCGCGAATTTGCCATGACCACCAGAAGCGATCAACGTTGGCATGATGGACCCAGAAGAGAGGATCAGCAGCTGTCAGAGTCAGTGCATCAAGCATGTCAGATGGCCAGAGTGAGAGGGGACTTACGACTCTGCCACTTATCAGTCATGGTACCATACAACCCACCAACACCCCAATGTCCACCAGAGTGAGTAGTGCTCTGCGTAAGACGATCAAAGTGTCCAAAATCGCCCTGCTGCATCCCATCCTCAACCGCAGCAGGTCCACTCATATCCCTAAAGCTCAATGGCGCAAAGTCTCGTCGAATACAGTTGGGGTTATACGCTGTACCATTTCCAGGTCCCAGGTTAGACTTGAGTCCTGCAAACGGACCGCTCTTGATACAATCGCCACCAGACCGATCAGGAACATCCCAGGGAGGATTCACGGGCAGGCCAGGCTCAGGATTAGAGAAGTTTCCGGGGATCCAAGCTCCGTTGCCACCGAAACCGTGCTTGTTGTCAAAAATAGGCGAGTTGACAAAGACGGAGGTGTCGTTTTCGGGGCCTGCGGCGTCGAGTGTCCAGTCCCAGTAGGGAACCCCACCTTTCCAGCCACAGGTCTGTAGCTCTTGTTCGTAAGAGTACATGAGTAGACGGTGGTAGGGGTAGAATACACCCTGTTTGGGTTAGGGAGTGAAACAGTAATCGAACGACGTGGGGACATACTGTGAAGTGCACGTCATCGGCGTTGATGATGTGCGTGCCCAAGAAGTCGTCCCATCGACTTCGAGCACCAGGGATATCGGCTGTAGAAGACTGGGGAGGTTTCTTCATCAGGCACTTCTGAGCTTTGATGTACTGATCTCTCTCCTTGATACTAAGAGAGCGCCTACCGCCAATCAGAAATTGATCAAGCAGATAGAATGAGTTACGTACCATTCCCTTCTGACAAAAGGTTTCTTGCAACTCTTTGCCTCAGAAACAGCCACGCCTGCAAGGAGGACAGCATTCCACAGGGACGTAATAGCAACCATGATGTAAACACAGCAAGACAAGATGCAGGGTCAGTATCAGAAGATGCAAGTGGTCACTCAGATGTGTTTGAGACGAGTGATCGACAAGAGAAAGGAACAGGAAGGCTCCTTTGTATGTTTTGACTTTTTCGCCTTAGTCTACAGGGTTTACGAAACAGGACCTCGTTACCGAAGAGTACCTGCAGCGTGGCATTGCAGATGCTGCTACATGCACGTTGGTAGAACGCCCGGCAAAAGACTCCGTGGGATTCTCTGTTAAGCGATGGATCCGGGGCCTTGGAACATCAGGGATCATCCCTTACCGACGAGATAAACTTGGTCCCAAGGCCGGCGGATTTCCACGACCCGCGCCGGAGAATCTACATAATCTGCAGGTTAAAGATCCTAGCTTCGTATGAGCTATTTCCTGATGATCCGATGCTCTCTTTTGCCAGCTCCACTATACTTTAACGGTCAATGATCTTCTACAGGGCAAAAGATCCTGGACGTACATATGCATGTTGGTTCTGGGTAAATTGAAAGGGTTATCATTAGTCAAATTACACCGCATGGCTTGGCGTAAGCTCTCTATCCTCACTTCCCCTCTCCGTCCACGATCCCGCCGTCAAATATCCCTGCGTCGTCCGCATTGTCGTGATATCTCGTTCGTCTCTTGGCTTACCCACTTCATAGACCTTTCCCTCCAAAGGAATGGCATCGTTGCTGTCCCCTGCAGCAAAAGGATCCTCATCTCCACCGTAGATATCTCTTCTCGAGTTTACCGCTGACTTATTCACCATTCGTGACTGTCTTGCGCTCTGTCCAACATCGTGATACCGGTTTCCATAGCCTGAGCGACCGGCTGATGTTCCTGATAGCGTCCAGCCCATTCTGTGTAAGGCGCTTTGGACGAGGGGCTTGAGAAATGGGGCGGAGGATGCGATCATGATGAGAATTTGCTCGAGGGCTGTCCAGGTGGCGATGGAGTTTGTGAGTGCCCATGCATCCTTCGCCATGCCGAATTCTTTGACAAGGGTTGCCTTTACGATGGAAGCGACGCTTGCAAACATGCCTAGACCCATGAGTACGCCAACAAGGATCTTCTCCTTCAGGGGTCTCTTGAGCTTCCAGAGGAAGAGCGTCGGTGCCAAAGACAGCATAATGTCTGTTGCAATATTGATACCGGACCCGATATTCGACATGATGTGAATGCCGGTTTGGGGGAGACAGCTTGCTCCTTGGACCGTCTCCAGCACTGATGTATCCCATGATGCTTCGAGAGGTCGGCACTGAAGAAGGATGAAGAATGTGTTCGCGACACCGTAGGCTATCAAGATGCCCATTATGAAGAAACAAAAGACGCGCCACCATAGTACAGTTGGCTGGATTCGGTGCATCATCATCGCGATGCTGACTTTGATGAACATCATGGCAATGCCCCAGATGGGAATCGCAAGGAATGCGTATTTTCGTGACCAAGTCACTTGGGATTCGGTGATGAGTCGTGGTGACGTATACATTTGCGGTATGAGGAATCCGAAATCGACGACCGCAGCACACTGTCAACAATACTGTCAGTCATAAGCCTCATGAGTGTGATGGCTCAACTTACGACTCCAATAGTCATGCTGTAATCTTCCCAACTTACCCTCCAAACCGGTCGTACCCTCAGACATATCCTCGCTACAAACATAGCTAACGCAATAGCAAGAAGCGGAGATGTTATCCCCAGATGCGCAACTGCAAGATTGGCAGCTCGTTCGGAGATGGGGAAGAAGGGTCTCCCATCACTGGGAGGTTTCGGAGGCTCCGACATGCGTAAATATCACAGCGAATAAAGCTTAAAAGCATCAATTAAGAAAACAAACAATAATAAAGTGGTGAAGGAATAGCTATAGATATTTGTATGCACCCTGTAACCAGGATCAACACTTGAGACAAGTCATAGCATCAAGTCTTCTTCACTACACCTATGGCACTCTGCTACTCTGTACGTAACTCTATCCTGCAGAGTGTTTCCATTTCACATCCTGTGACAGTGTCACTGCTTCTCTTCGTTACTCCAAGCCAGCCACGGATCGACGCGGGATTTACTACGATAGCCTCACTCTAAACAGTGAATACTCCGACGGTGCAGAAGAGGCTTGCAGTAGGTAGTTACAGCCACTGAGGCACAGCTGCAGATACTCCCCGAGGCGAAAGCCAGGGGTTTCCTAGCACTATCACACAAGCGAAGCAAACCCAAGCCGAGTGAACAAGATAAAGTGCCCGCACAGAACCGTATCTGGTCTGGGATTTGCAGCCGGTCACCGGTGAATCCTCCGCGATGTGGTCCGGTCATCCAGTGAGAATCCAGGTTTCCGTTCCTGCAGCTTGGGTGATGCCTGCACTGCGTTTCAGCCAAGATTCCTTCGGGAAATGATTTGCTTTCACACTGCGGGAGAAGTGCAGGAAGCGAGCCTGGCGAGAAGAGGAAGTCTTGGTCGATATAGGAGAGTTCAGTTGTGGCTACGGATGCTTGGAAACTTAATATCTGGGTAAATAGATCAATAGTTCGGGAACACGAGCCGTGCAGCCGTGGTCCCAAGGGATTTTCTTCAACAACTGGGGTACGGCTTGGCATGGGTGAACGAGGGAAAACAGGAAAGGAAATGCTCCGGAAGGTTTGCAAGTTTTCAAAACAACACAACTACTTCTTCGTTTGGCTTCTTGGCAATATAAGGAATCCTCTTTCGCATTGATCACCAAGTGGACTCAACATCGCAATTATTACCTTACAAGTTCAGACGACTCGCTTACACTCCAGCGGTTTCGACATCTCGGCTCCGCAATGTGACTGTGATACTTGACCCCCGGTCAAATCTATTCCCATGATCTGATAAACACAACAAGGCCCCATAAACTCAAATTTTATTAACTCACCACTGCAACACCTCCCCTGGGGTCGTGTATCTTGGTGCTATCCCCACTTCAAGCAGGTATCGTTGAATGAAACAGAACTGTTTCATTCCTGCAAACGCCGCAGGTTTGCATACATGCGTTTTCATACGCTGCGGCCAAGATAATGAACTTTTGATCGGACCGAGATTAAATTCATATCCTGCAGTTGACGCTGCGGATTGATGCGCTTGGCCGTTGAGCAAGGTTATTTGAGCCGCAGTGGCGATTTATATATCTAGTCGATGTCTCGTGAGTAAAGGTCGCATTGGAATTCAACTTCCTCCAAAGGTTCCTTCTTCGTTGGAGTATGGACTGCAATAATTACAACTACAACATCAAAGACACAAGGCGAGTTTAGTTGGGGAGAATCAGTGTTTGGTCAATGTCATGAAATTCCTTAATTATGCCTTCTCAAAAAAGCTGATCTGTTAACTCGTATCCAAGCCAAAGGAATAGAAAAAAGACAACGCTTCATTAACAGAAATATCGGTAAGCCCTCTTCCACAAAGGCCAGGTAACACGCGCCTCCCTCTCCTGATCACTCATCAAATGAACACGATAATAACGTCGTCCAGTCTGGATATCAATATCATCCAACGCCACAAAATTTGTTCTATACCAAAGCTTGTGTCCGAGGTACATGATCAGAACAATGGGAACAGCCATGAGGTTAAGGAAAATGTTCTGCACAATGTCGTTTGTGCTCTCGTTCTGCTTGTGATCAACAGGATCGACGGCTATCCAGACTTGGCTCAACAAGACAAGGACGTATCCAGCTAGAGCGAACCAAGAGCCGTATGTGCCGGGTCGTGAGCGGAATGGCAACTGCTCGAGGGTATGTGCGTGATGTGCCCATGCGTTACGGAAGCGGATGTGAGTAAGACAGATGCTACCCCAGGTGAAGAGGGTTGCAAGAGAGCTGATAGATAACAACCAGTTGAAGACGACATCGTGAGCCTTTAGATCAGCAATGAAGGCCAAAAGTCCAATACAGCAAGAAAAGATGATAGCAGCCAAAGGTCGACCCTGCTTATCAACATAGGAGAAAATAGCCGGTGCCATAGATTGATCAGCAAGAGCAGCGAGTGTTCGCGATGAGCCGAAGACGGACGAGTTGCCAACGCTGATAACGGCGATGAGAATAACAGCGTTCATAACACTGGGCAGCACAGTGGTTCCGGCAGTTTCGATAGCGACGACAAAAGGTGAGGCCGCAGAGTTGGAGGAGCTAGCGTCCAAGATTCTCGGGTCGTCGTGGGGCACAAGAAGGCTGACGAGCATCAGGGCCACAATGTAAAAGAGGGTGATGCGCCAGAAGACCTGCTTGATGGCGCTGGGGAGGGATTTCCGAGGATTGGCAGTTTCTGCTGCTGCAAGGCCGATGAGCTCGGTACCGGTGAAGGAGAAGCATGATGTCACGAGGACGGAACAGAAGCCTTTGAAGCCGTTGTTGAATAAGCCGGGATCGATCCAATAGCGGCCTCCAATGTAGCCCGATGTAGGCTCGCCTCCAATGTTGATGACGATTCCAAGGAGGCTATGTTTGTTAGTCGCTAAACTCATTATACTATCAGTGAGTAGTGGGTGAAGGCTTACATGAAGGCTACGATCGCAGTGACCTTGATGATAGAGAAGACGAATTCAGCTTCACCGTACGCCTTAACACCAAACAAGTTGATGATGAAAATGGCAGCTAAGAAAATGGCAACAAAAACGGATTTGGAGATGTCTTCATTCCAGTAAGTAATTGTGAATGCGCCAGCGATGATCTCAAGAGGAAGAGTGAAGAGCCATTGAAGACAGTAGCTGGGCCCGTTAGCGATGCTCTCATCTCATGAATGAGTGAGTGAGACTTACTTCCAACCCATAGAAAAACCCCAGGAAGGATCGAGAAAGCGGGTCGAGAAGGCAGAGAATGAACCGGCGATAGGGAAGATAACACAGAGCTCGGCGAGCGATTGCATGGTGCAGTATTGAAGTGCGCCGATGACGATGTATGAGAGGAGAACACTTCCTGGACCACCTTGGTGAAGAGCACTGCCAGAAGTGATGAACAAGCCGGTACCTGCACATGTCAGCAC